GTCGACCGAAAAGCAAATATACAGAAAAACTTCGGCAATCCAATAAATATAAATATTACAATGAGTGACAATTTAAAAGCATATGATTTTATAGAATTGCATAGAAAAATTATTTAAATCTTATTCGTTAATAAGCATTATTGTGTTATCGTGTGTTCCAAAATGAGTACTAATCACTTCATCGATGTATGGATTTAAAGCACTAGTACTAGTGTAATTGATCCCGGTATAAAATAACTAGTGCAATCATTCCGGTACAAAATCACAAGTGTAATCATTCCTTGTTTAAAAACACTAGTGTGAACATTCCTTGGATGAAAACTCTCCACTTTTTACATAAATCAACTAAGCAAGTTTCAAATATACTAAAAAATATAAAGCTACATTTTATACACGTTTCCCCTTCAAAAAACCCTTTTTAGAAGTTATAATGACTGGTGGATGTTTTACACTGGACCCGGATAGAAAAACCTAGTGAATTTTTGTTGGTGGATAAAAATCACTGGGGATTTTCTTCCTCCGGATAAAGTACACTGGCGGAATCAAACCACTGTTACATACACCCATACAATATACACTGCGATAACCAACATTTATTATTGGTTGATAATTGTCTGCTCAAAAGTCTACTTGTATGACTTGTATAATTGATACTGATGATACCTGTGGCGATTTTCACCCTGATCACCAGTATACTATCAAACTGAGACTACTATAACACTAATAACTACTAAATATATATGTGTTATAGTAGTCTCAGTATAAAAAAATAAGCTTTAACTTTGTTCATCAACCTGATAGATTGTTTTCCTTGTCACATTTTTGTTGTTTGGTAAGCAGTTCATATCGCTTCATATGCAGATTTTTAATAAGCTGTCTGCACACTACTTCTAGCTGTTCAGCAATACTATGATTAAGATCACTATTTTAATAATTGTTTGTCTATGGCATACTAGAAAGGATTAACGATGAGTTACTATCTCCAAAGCAAGATTTTGCTAAAAGTTCACTACCTCTATCAACTATTATCTGCATCAATCTTTTCCTATCTGTTTCAAGTTATTCACACGTCAGTAGAAAATGTGATACAATTTAAGGACTCTTGTTACATAGCTTACATGTTGAACTAACTTTATTCTTATTGAATGCAGTTCGATTAGATTGAAAGATATATATGTTCCTGTTGCAATTTTGATTCTTGTAGGAATCCTTACAATGCCTCTATTGTTTGCTGTCTTTGTGGTAATCAATCGGTGTATTTTCCCGATGGTATATTGACAGTTCAAATATTAAAGAGTTGTGTATACATCTTTGAATCATCAATAATCGTGGTGGTCCAGGAATTCTGCACCTTGTTGGTTATAAAAGATTTCCACTTTGTTTTTGTTAGCGGATTGTCCAAAAAGTTTTCTATATTTTCTATCTTATATTGTTAACAGAGCTTTATAATATCAATGAACCAACTATAACCGTTGAAGGATTTTAGTTTAGGCTGAATTTCTGCTATTCTACATTCATAGGAAGTTTTTCTGATCTAGTGATGGTCCCAAATAATGTCAAAATTTTGATATGTATTTCAGCTTCAATAGGTATCATGCCGGAGAGTATATATATGGTTGGGTCTGCTGTATTAGTAGATAAAGATATATTTAGTTGCTGTTTTAATAATTTCTTATACTAGTAATACAGATTAAGAGTTGTAAGTGATTTGCCATTTGGAATCAAGATTTCTAGTCCATAAGTTAGAATTAGTAGTACAAAAGTTTAAATAGTAACAGTATTGTTTCTGGGTCCAATACATTGGTTCCATGTAGTCATGCAGCTCTTTTCACAAAATATCTTACGAGTAAAATCACTCGTAAGTCATGAGCATTTCAGTATAACTTACGATCAATTTTAATCGTAAGTTTTTTTTTGAAAAGAGTTGCTGATCCCATGAAGCTATATAAAAGAGGGACGAAAGATAGCAGAGGGACAGTCAAACTCATAGATCGAAAACAAACTGACAACGCCATGGCCAAAAAAAAAGACAAACAGACAAATAATAGTACAGATGACACAACATAGAAAACTAAAGACTAAGCAACACGAACCCCACCAAAAACTGGGGTGATCTCAGGTGCTCCGGAAGGGTAAGCAGATCCTGCTCCACATGTGGCACCCGTCGTGTTGTTTATGTTATTACAAATCCGGTAAATAGTCTATTTCAGTAAAAAGTCACATTCGTGAAAAGGGAAGGGCATTGTAGTTACGACATAAGGAACGTATCCGATATCATCTGTGAAACGGTTATTCCATAACGGTCAACCAACTCGTGATGGCGTCCGTAAAATTTACGAAGGGATGATTTCAACTTCACCATTTGGAACTCTTGGTTTAATAGCTTCCTTGTGAGCAGCAATCCTCTATCAAGGAAATCATGATAGGAAACACAAGCCCGGGAATATCGTATCAATTGGGAGATATATACTCCGTATGCAGGCGCTGCTGGAATGTTGCTACATAGAAATGGAAAGTTCACAATTGGGAAGCTGAAATCATCTCTTTTGTCGTAAAGTTTTGTTTTCAACCGACCCTCATTGTCAATTTCTAGATGTAAGTCAAGATATGAGGCAGACTTAACTGTATCTGTAGTATCCTTTATCTCTAGTTCGATGGGATAGATTCGTTCAACAAAGTCACCAAATTTTGTATTATTTAGTGAGAGAATATCATCTATATAGCGGAACGTAGAGTTAAAGGATATTTCTAACTTCTTATCTTTCTTCCTAAGAAGTTCCTGTATGAAGTCAGCCTCATAATAATAAAGAAACAAGTCGGCAAGAAGAGGGACACAATTGGTTCCCATTGGAATTCCGACAGTCTGTTGAAAAACACGTCCTCCAAACGTAACAAATATGTTGTCAATCAAGAAATCAACCATCTTGATAATGTCAGTTTCAGAGAATTTTTTGTTTGAATCAGAGAGATTCTTTACAAAGTAGGATTTATCCCTCCACAAGACAATATACTTGTATCTACGTTCGCCATTCTTTTTAATGAAACAAAGTAATACCAACTCTTTCAATTTGTCTTTTAGTTTGGAATGGGGAATACTTGTGTAAATATAAAGTGCGTCTTGCTTTTTAGATGTCCTCCTAAACTGTTGATTGAACTGATTTTATTTTCTTATTTATTTATTCCTATGTGTGTTGCTGTTTTAACTACTGGCATTTGCTTATCGTCCATAATCCAAAACCCTTCTCCAGTCTCTATTGTTTTTGAGGTAGTTCTTCCTGGTAATATTACGCTTTTAGTTGGTTGTATTAAATATCCTTCTCTACAACTGAAATCGAGAGCAATATCAACCATTAACTGTATCTCTAGTGGATTTGATGCTATAATAGCAACATCATCAGCGCAGGTAGGTGCACAACAGTTTATGTTACCCATCTTTCCACTGAGTCCCGTTTCACAGAAGAGGTTCAGTAAAGGGTTTACGAATACTTGATAAGAATCAGAAGATATAGCATATATTAGTGTTAAGAGAGGCGACAGATACCAAAGGGACATTCAAACTCATAAGTCGGAGAATAAACTGACAACATGGCTAAAAAAGAAAAATACCAACAGACAAACAACAGTACACAAAACACAACATTGAATACTTCAAATACCTAATGTAATCATGATATATGTCAACCAATATAACTAACATTGATGGAGCATGGTTAGCTCATCAATTACAAATAAAGGGATATTTGTAACGGACTTCATCTGCCCATCCTTTTTAACTTCTTAAAGGGGAGCATTCAGCACTTGCAAACATGTTTATCCCCGCCACATTCCATATGTGACTGTCCCAAATCAGTAGCCTGTAATTCGGTGGTTGTTGTTGGTTGCTATTTACCATATTTATTTTTCTTTTATTGTTTTGTACATAAAACAGGCCGTTGGTTTTCTCTTGTTTTATTTTTTTTTTTACATATGTCATGTCAGGGCTTTTAATAGCTTACTATATGTTATGGGTTTTGCTCATTGATAAAAACCATACGGGGAATCATATATCAATCTGTTAGACACATAGCTCGTTGTTATTAAATAGTGATACATACGCTTTTTTTCATTTCAGGATTTGGGTTCTAACAGGTAACAAGGAACTTGTAGTTGAACCCCTATTTCATTTTTGTTGCAAGATTTTTAATGATATATACTGATGTTCTTACCATATGTAAATGTGCAATAGTGTTTGTGTCCTTCATTTTGGTGGTGTCTAATTGACATGTGATACAAATATCCTTTCAATTACACTGTAACCTGAGATTACAAAACACAACAGATCTGTTCAAATAAAAAAAATTTAGTATGGTGAAACTGTTTTCTTGTGCATTTACCATTTGTTGTTAAATATGAATACCTGTAACTAGATATTGGCCTCATGTAAACAAAAGATGTAATATTCAGATCAGTTTTATTTTGCATATTAGTTCTAAAAGCTTAAATACTCTACACACACTTTAAAAAAATGTCCAGCAGTGAATTCACCGGTATTAAAATACAAAACATTTTTAGTACAACATGGTATATTGCATATTATTTTGTTAACTGACAGAACACGCTTTTCCATGGATTTCAATTTTTATCATTTGTTAAAATTTGATAACTTCATAGATTTTTTTAATTTATAACTGCAGACTTTGCAATTGATAATCAAATGGATTTCATAATATATTATAACTATTAAGGGCTATTCCATTAAAATGGATGTGTGAGGGTAGCATGGGACTTCCATAATCCTCCCAATAACCAATATACATTCTTCCAGTAATTCTGCAAACATCAAATGGAAAATACAACTAAAATGATGCACAACTCATTTCTAAACATACAAAATACCCTCTCATGTCCACTTAAATGGAATAGCCCTTACCATGTAAGCCATCAAAAACTGCAATCCTTGAATAAAAGTACTATAATTTAAAATATTCAATTATTCACCAGATATTTGCATATATGCATTATACTATATGCATTATATGCAATGAAATTTTTTTGTGTGTGGAGAAAACAGACAGATCAAATCTAAGAGAAATGGCATCCACCAAGAATAAATTTATTACAGTAATTCATTTCAAAAAAATTATAAACACTGTTACATATCTTTAGTATCTAAAATAGGGAAACAGTATTTCAACTGTATAAAATATATAGAAAAGGGTAAAAAAATAAAAGATAAAAAATACTTTGTTAATCTCAATTTATCATATATTGCTGAGAAATTGCAAATATTTAAACATTTGTTTGTATCAAAATATTACGCAAACTGTAGAAATTCTTTATATACACTCAAAATATTTATAAAAGAGAGTCCCATATTATCTTAAAATTTCAATTTGCGAATCATCCAAATTTCTAATTCTAATCAGCTGTTGCCTAACCATCTCTTGATTAACAGTATAACACCCCCCCTTTTCCCCAGAAGAAAAAATGCAAACTAAAAAGTATTCTTTGGATGTGCCCATAGGTGATATGTTGCAGATCCTGCCAAATGGTCTTTTGATTTCCTGTAGGGGCAATCTAATTCGTTTTACCTTCTCTTCTAGTCTTGGACTGATATCCCAGCTCAAGAAGAGTTAGGTAATATAAAACACAATGAATTATTTAACAGATCAATACAATTTTTGGAATGCACGTTTGGGCTATTTGGCGTAATATTTGGGCTAAAAATATGTTGCGCCAATGGGGTGTCCACATTTGGGATAAAATTTAAAGTCTACTTTTGAGCTAATCCTCCCATGTACAGGTAAATAACAGGTAGCATGTCTATTTTTTAATTATATATTAATATTAGATATGTAGAATGACATTATTCTATTTATAACATATTCTTGCTTTATGTACCCATTCTGTTTACCAGACAATGTCTTCTCACTTGTTCACCACAGCGAGGTGGAAGAGGGGTTCTGAGCAAGATGAGTCTAATAATAACACTAAATAACTTTTTAAAACTATGAACAAAGTGCAGGTATAAAACAGCTGCATGCATGTTTAGATATATACAGTAATTAATTGTTCTCAAATATTGGCTCTGGTCCTGAATTTTAAGCTAACAGCCTTCAAAACTGTAATCTTGTGTTACTGCCTGATCTCAACTATAAACTAATTACCATTTAATGGTATAAAACTTCAATTAAGTTCTTTTCTTTTCAAACTAGCATAGTTTTCAAATGACCAGATTTATGAAGGTTGTATTTTTAAAATTATTTCTAAGTGATATTTTATATATTTTACATCAAATATTGATTTTGAAAAATATTATCTGTAATTTAACAGTACAGGTAAAAAAATTAAATTAGTCTAAAATCACTCTAAATGTAAATCCAAAATTTTTAGCCCAAATGATAGCATTGTCACGTTATTGATTTAGCTCAAATGATAGCATTGTCACGTTATTGATTTAGCTCAAATGATACCATTGTCACGTTATTGATTTAGCCCAAATGTCTTATACCAAAAGTATTACATAAGACCTTTAGGGTTAATTTTTCTGATCAGTGATGTTCCATGGAATATTTGTCACTAAAGAGTAATGTACACAATAATGGAATAATGTTATCTATGTATTCATAAATAATTTTTACATCAAATATTTAGCACTAAAGATAGTACATCTAATAAAATTTCTATTTACAATAATACTTCTTATTGCTTCTAATAATTGTCTAAGAATACTCTGTTATGACATTTAATAAAACAATTCTCTCTCACAGTAAAAACACAAAAGATCACAATTTTCTATTTGTATAAAATCAATCCTTACAACTATATGTACTTCTCTATCTTTAGATGACATACAGCATGTATGGGAAACAAGATGGGCAGAAACGTTTCAAAATCCTTGTTCATTATATACACACATACTGCAACTTGTTTTATAAAATATCTTACGAGAAAAATTCTCATTGGTCATAAACATTTCAGTCAACTTACGTTCAATTTTAATTGTAAGATTTTTTGTAAAAAGAGTCGCGTATTTTTAATTATGTAAACTGATCAGTGGGCAATGCCACAATAACAGTAATTTATACCAACCTTTAGCAATATTATCACAGTAAATAATCTAACTATTGAACAAAAAAGACGATATTGTTAAGAGGGGATTACATGCGTTTTGGATGTGGGATATAGAGGGTAAAAATTGGGGATGTGGGATATAGAGGGTACAAAGTTGGGATGAGGAATCTTGAAATGAAGAAAAAAAGTTGGAAGTAGGATAAAATTACAAATAAAATGCTCCGCAGGGCGCAGCTTGATACGACCGCAGAGGTCGAACCCTGAACAGTTGGGGGAAGTATGGACACAACATTCAAGCTTGATACAGCTTTGGATTTGGATTGTGATTAAATATTTGACACAGCATAGGTTTCTAACACAGATTGAATGTGGTCTAAGAACTTAAAAATTTTAAATTGGACATTCACCTATTATGGTCCAATATCCAAAATCTAAATACATGGTTAGATTCAGCATATCAAAGAACCCCAAGAATTCAATTTTTGATGAAATCAAACAAAGTTTAATTTCGGACCCTTTTGACCTCAATGTGGACAAAGTTGATAACGGGGCCCAAAAATCAAAAATCTAAATACATGGTTAGATTCAGCATATCAAAGAACCCCATATATTCAATTTTTGTTGAAATCAAACAAAGTTTAATTTTGGACCCCGATTTGGACCAACTTGAAAACTGGGCCCATAATCAAAAATCTAAATACATGTTTAGATTCAGCATATCAAAGAACCCTAAGAATTCAATTTTTGTTAAAATCAAACTAAGTTTAATTTTGGACCCTTTGGACCTTAATGTAGACCAATTTGAAAACGGAACCAAAAATTAAGAATCTAAATACACGGTTAGATTCGGCATATCAAAGAACCCCAATAATTCAATTTTTGATGAAATCAAACAAAGTTTAATTTTGGACCCTTTTGACCTCAATGTGGACAAAGTTGATAACGGGGCCCAAAAATCAAAAATCTAAATACATGGTTAGATTCAGCATATCAAAGAACCCCATATATTCAATTTTTGTTGAAATCAAACAAAGTTTAATTTTGGACCCCGATTTGGACCAACTTGAAAACTGGGCCCATAATCAAAAATCTAAATACATGTTTAGATTCAGCATATCAAAGAACCCTAAGAATTCAATTTTTGTTAAAATCAAACTAAGTTTAATTTTGGACCCTTTGGACCTTAATGTAGACCAATTTGAAAACGGAACCAAAAATTAAGAATCTAAATACACGGTTAGATTCGGCATATCAAAGAACCCCAATAATTCAATTTTTGATGAAATCAAACAAAGTTTAATTTTGGACCCTTTTGACCTCAATGTGGACAAAGTTGATAACGGGGCCCAAAAATCAAAAATCTAAATACATGGTTAGATTCAGCATATCAAAGAACCCCATATATTCAATTTTTGTTGAAATCAAACAAAGTTTAATTTTGGACCCCGATTTGGACCAACTTGAAAACTGGGCCCATAATCAAAAATCTAAATACATGTTTAGATTCAGCATATCAAAGAACCCTAAGAATTCAATTTTTGTTAAAATCAAACTAAGTTTAATTTTGGACCCTTTGGACCTTAATGTAGACCAATTTGAAAACGGAACAAAAATTTAAGAATCTAAATACACAGTTAGATTCGGCATATCAAAGAACCCCAATAATTCAATTTTTGATGAAATCAAACAAAGTTTAATTTTGGACCCTTTGGACCTCAATGTGGACCAATTTAAAAACGGGGCCCAAAATCCAAAAACTAAATACACGGTTATATTCAGCATATTAAAGAACCCCATAAAATCAAGAATAAAACCCCATTGAAATCGGTCAAGAAATAAGCAATTTATAGGAAGTATCTTCTTTTGCACAATCCTGTGCTATTAAATATTTCTTGCTATTGCGCAATACTGTACAATTGACAATTTCTTGCTATTGCGTAATATTGTGCTATTGGATATTTCTTGCTATTGCGCAATACTGTGCAATTGAAGATTTCTTGCTATTGCGCAATACTGTGCAATTGAAGATTTCTTGCTATTGTGCAATACTGTGCAATTGAAAATTTCTTGCCATTGCACAATACTTATTATATAATAATTTACACATCCTGTTTGGTGTGTATCTCCTACCATATCATTATTATTTGATTTTAAATATAAATCAGAAATAACCAACTTAAAATGGAAAATTTTAAAAGAAACAAAAAAGGAAAAAAAGAAAAAAAAGGAAAAAAAAATAAATCCCCCCCCAAAATTTTTTGAACCCCCATTATGATTCATCACCCCCAAACTCAATCCCAGCCTTCCCTTTGTGGTATGGTACCTTGCAGTACAATTTCAGAGAGATCCATACACTTGAACACAAGTTATTGTCTGGAAACTAGAAAAAAATGTGTTTTTTGGCCCCTTTTTGGCCCCAAATTCCTAAACGTTTAGGGCAATTACCCCCAAACTCAAACCCAGCTTTCCCTTTGTGATATGGAACCTTGTAGTACAATTTCAGAAAGATCCATACACTTACATACAAGTTATTGTCATGAAACTAGAAAAATGCTTGTTTTTTGCCCCTTTTTTGGCCCCTAATTCCTAAAATTTGGAGGCAATTACCCCCAAAATCAATCCCAGCATTCCTTTAGTGATATGGAACCTTGTGGTACAATGTCAGAGAGATCCATACACTAACACACAAGTTATGTCTGGAAGTTACAAAAATGCTTATTTTTGGCCCCTTTTTGGCCCCTAATTCCTTTACTGTTATTACCATAACCCCCAAAATCAATCCCAACCTTCCTTTTGTGGTATTGAACCTTGTGGTAAAATGTCATAAAGATCCATTCACTTAAACTAAAGTTAGAGTGCGAAAACCAATGTGTCTTCGGACGACGCCGGACGACGACGACGACGACGCCGCCGGACGACGACGACGCCAACGTCATACCAATATACGACCACAAAAATTTTTTTGCGGTCATATAAAAAGTGGGATTTGGAAAATGAGCCCCCTTTGTGTAAACCCCCTTATATTGCACAAATTAAACTAATTTTGATTCAAATGTAAATGCATTTGATTGTCAAAAAGTAAAAAAAGTTTGCACAATTAATGCAGTAGCTGTAAATATTAAGTATATAAATATAAGTTTTAAAAAAATAAACCTACATATCAGTTCATTACTACATACCATTTTTACAGTAGTAGATAAACCAATTCTAATAAATTTTCTTTTAAGCAACTATGTCCCATTAGTAATTTGCAGTAATGTACGTTATGTATCTTCATCATATATTTAGCTCTTGATATTTCCTTATTTCTATGTTAAAACTTATTTCACATACCCTGAATCCTATGTACCATATCAAATACCCCATATCATATGCCCTGTATCACAAAGCTTTGATCACATGCCCTTGTATCTCACCTGTCATTTGAATGCCCTTAAAATTGTCATGTTTAAATGTATGATAAATTAAATAAATTGCTTCGTTAAGCGCAGCTGGATACGACTGCAGAGGTCCAACCCTGAACAGTTGGGGCAAAAATGGACACAATATTCACGCTTGATACAGGTCTGAATTTGGATTGTAATTAAATATTTGACACATAAAAGGTTTCTGACACAGAATAACTGTAGTCAAAGAACTTAGAATTGGTTATATGATTTGAATTTATATTCAATTTTTTGCTTTTGTGCAATACACTTTGCTGTTGCGAATTGATCCCCCTCCCCCCACAAAAAAAATAAAAAATTTACCCCCCCTTTTTTTTTTGCTTTTGTGCAATACACTATGCTGTTGCGTATTAACTCCCCCCCCCCTCCCCCCCCACTTTTTTTTTGCCAAAATTTTCTTTTTAATTTCTAAAATCTGAAATAAGAAAAAATTGCCCCCCCCCCTTACAATTTCTTTTTACCCCCCCCCCCCCTGTTTTCCCCCCAAAAAATTCTTTCCCTCAAGATATGGTCATAATCTCAATTCAAATTTCCAATGGAGTTTGCAACCATAATTACCCATTTAAATTTACCATAGTGCTAACTAAATCTATTTTATAATAGAATTTAAAATATGGTGTCAAATCTTTCAAATGGATTTTTTGTAAAAAAAAAAAAAAGATGCAACATTTGCAGATATTTTTACTGGTTTTCATTTATAAATATGCATTTCTTTAAACATAATTTTGAAGCAGTGTAAGGGAGGTAATCAAAGAGTTGTATTTGGATTACCTCCCTTACACTGCTTTTAAATTGTCTTAATTGTTCATTAACCATTACTTTATACATAATTTAAAAGCAGTGTAAGGGAGGTAATTCAAATAATGTATTTGAATTACCTCCCTTACACTGCTTTAAATTATGTTTTGTACTAAATTATTTGTCCATTAACCAGGACACCCTTGTTTTTCCCCTTTTTTTGCCCCTAATTCCTAAACGGTTTGAGCCATAACCCCCCCCCCCCCAACCCCGAAGCAAAATCTAACCATCCCTTTGTGGTATGGAAGCTTGTGGTATAATTTCAGAGAGATCCGTACACTGTTCCACAAGTTATTGTCTGGAAACTAGAAAAATGCTTATTTTTTGCCCCTAATTCCTTAACTGTTGGTACCATAACCCCCAAAATCAATCCCAACCTTCCTTTTGTAGTATTGAACCTTATGGTAAAATTTCATAGAGATCCATTCACTAAAACTAAAGTTATTGTGCGAAAAACCAATGTGTCTTCGCACGATGACGATGCCAACATCATACCAATATACTACTGCAAAAAAAAAAACATTGTAAAATTTGAATTGAATGGCGTAACAACCTTGGAACCTAATCAGCCCTCAGGCCTTCCACCCTCTAGCTGATATTGATCTCTTGGCTACGTATAGTAAAATTTTGCCACAGATTTCTCTGTATATATCATTATATTACCACACAATTTTTAATTTTGCTTCCCACATACAGCTATGTCATCCAATCAGAAGTACATGTTATAGTTGTCTATTTGGCAGTACATGTTAACAAAATCAATGAATACTGTCGGTCTTCCATTTAGGTAAAAAACACAAAATTCTAAACCTTAACCTCACTTAGGTAAAGTTTCGTTGGAATCAACTCTAGCTTTTACCTTAAATCTAATATTTACAGAACTTCCATAAACATAATGCATGACAAATTACTGTTCTTATGAATAAACATATTTACACTTTTGGTATTTAGCTGAATTTTGTCTCCAAATGACCTTAGATTTGCTCCGAATAACCTTCTGATGTCAAGCAACAATAACTTTTTAATTGTGACATCAATTTTTTTTAAATTGTGATGTCAAACTTTACGGGAACATGTGTGATTTTACGTAATAGCAGACAAATTTGCATACAAGTGTAAATATGTCTATTATATCTAAACATTATTATGTTTCCTTACTATTAGCTAATTCAGACACAAGTTTATTTTTATAAAACAGAAGATAAAACAAATATAATATTAGGAATAGAAACTGGGAATAGAAAACTTTTACAAATCTAAAATAAAAAAAAATCTTTGACAATCAACCTTAAGGGTCCTCAAATCAAAATATCAGAGGTAATTAACAAGGCTCATAAATACATATACATTTCCGATAAACTTAAAAGTAATAATTGTGGATAGTGTCCACATGTGGACACAGATGATGCCCCCACTTGCATAGCATATAGTTATAAAGGGACATAACTGAAGAACAGTAAAAGTGACGCTACCCAAATTTGAACTTGATCTGAGTTTTGTGGTAATACGCATTGTGTGTAAGTCTCATAACATTTGGTTGAGGCTAACTTAAGTAGAGAACAGAAACTAAAAATTCAGCAATTTTTCTATTTGTAAACACGCATAACTCTAGAACGGTTGTGTATAAGTTTTATAACATTTGGTTGAGACAAACTAAAGTTAGAGAACGGAAACGAAAAATTCAGCAATTTTTATGTTTATAAAGGGACATAACTCAAGAATGGTAAAAGTGTTCTCACCAAATTTCGTACTTAATTTGTATTATGTAGTAATAAGCATTGTGTATAAGTTTCATAACATTTGGTTGAGGCAAACTAAAGTTAGAAAACGGAAACAAAAAATTTGTACTTGGGGCAAACTTAAGTTACAGAATGGAAACTAAAAATTTTGCAATCTTTCGATTTATAAAGGGGCATAACTCAATAATGGTTAAAGTGACACTACCCAAATTCAACTTGATCTGTGTTTTATCAGTGGAAGTCAAAATTAAACATTGCATTGTATAAAGAATTGATTGTAGTTGATTCAACTATAATCATGGACAAAGGAAGATAACACTTAAACTTGATCTGTTTTTTGTGGTAATAAGCATTGTATATAAGTTTCATAACATTTGGTTGAGGCAAACTCAAGTTAGAGAACAGAAACCAATTTTAGGACGTACGTACCTAGATGGACAAGGGTAAAACTTAATGCCCCCACAGCTACGGCGGGGGCATAAAAAGTATTGATAGGAATGGATACAAATTGATTCTTTTAACATATTTTCAATATTCTATGCTTACATATTTTTAAATGATAAATGAACAAATTTTTAGCATATGCACTAAGAGTAAGGGTTGGTCAGGCAGACTTAAACACTAATTATGTTATGGCCTTAATGGTCATATCATTATGACTCTATTACAGTTCAAGAATTGATTTATAATGCAAAACATTTCAGTTTTACCACCTCAGATGATTCTGTTTGAAGCAGCACAGAAAGTTATGGATAAAGCCTTGATGACTTTTATAGTAAATTGCAGATATTTAATAATTTTATAATTTACTATCAAAATTCCTCTTTCAAAGGGTGTCTATGAAATAGAAATGTTTTACATTATATATCAATTCTTGATCAACATTGAGAAGAATAGACTGGTACCCTAATTACCTGTCCTAACATAACAAACAACTAATGATTAAACAGTGATCTAGTTTACTGTAACAGGCATTCTTTCTGTTGATTTTGAACAGTTCCTTATTAACTATAATATAATCAGTATCACATCTCTTATTATTATGTTTTTACACAAACGGTCTCATTAATAATTACCTCAGCTGAAAACTTTAATAAATATAATTTATAAAATCATAAACTCTTAATAACATCAATTATTATGACTAAAACTCCATGCATACACTTTTTCATAAATAAAGTCGGTTGAATCATAAACCACATTAATGAGACTAAAATTCCATTCAAAAACTATGAAAAGTTTTGACATTCAATGTCCACACACTAAATACGATCTTCCAAAATAACTTGTATAACAGGTAAAATATTCATGTTATTGACATGATGTTTCATTACCTATATGCAAGATCTCCTTTTAATTGATATCATATACACTCATGTATAAATAAAACAATGGATTCCCCTTTATTTAATATCCTACCAAATCATGCTAAATAATTATTTGGACATTTTAATGATGAAAATAAAACATTTATCAAATGTAACCAGAGATGGGTCTGATTACTTTCAATGTAATTGATTAAATTTCAATTACTTTGTCAATTGTACAATTAAATTAAATTAATGATTACACCCTTTCTCATAGAAACTGATGAAATTAATGATTACATTGGCAAGTAATCATGATTACATCTGATTACAATGAATTTCAAAATAACCCATTTAAATGATGTTAATGAATAAAGATTGAAAAAAACAATAAAAGAACATTTTGTTATTATCAAATTACATGTATATCCATATTTCATAATATCTTATCATGCTTAAAGTAAACAAATTTATTTAAACAAGTTATATATTTATCAAATATGAATAATAAAATTTTATTTTAGACATGATGTATTGACCATAAATACAATTTGAGATTTTTTACTGTAATCAGAATTTAATCAGATGGTAATCAGGATTACAAGGTATTTTGAAAAGTAATTGATTAAATTAAATTACATGTAATCAGATTTTTGGCTGATTAATGATTACAATGATTACTTGAAAAAATGTAATCAATTACAGATGATTAATGCTTACAATTACAATTACTCCAAGCCAAAATGTAACATAAAAATTTAAAACAAAAATAAAAATACTGTTCTAAAATTTATACTAGTAACTAAAAAAAAAACCCATACACTATACTATGTGAGATTTTATGTTTTCATTCAGTTTTACAAATTTACATAATCTTGACTGCAGATGAATGAAACTACATATGGAACTGTGTTTAGGCGTAGAATATTTATATACTGATGTACATAGACAGGAATTTGTTTACAACTTTTTAATATTCAACTAATAATCTGATTAATGAGTTACATCCCTTTCCTGTCCACTCAGTAACTATTGCAACTTTTGCCAAATTGCACAACTTAACACAAATTCTTGATTCCAAACATTTAAACATTTCAAAAAATAAAGTAAGATGAAACATGATAGCCATTATTTTGCTGCTAAAATTGCAAAATTAGTAAAATTCTTCAAACTTATCAAAATTATGCTAATTTTATTGATAAAATGAATAGGATGATATAATCTGGACACTGAAGTGTCTCTTGCGATGTCAAGATGATGCTTATTTTACATCATTCAAATCTTAAAAGCATTTTACATATATATATGCTAACAACACTAACAACTTGCCCAGTCTTAACAGAAGAAAGGAAGAAATACCACATTGACAAGAAATACATTATAAACTGTAATATCTGATGAATTTGTCAAAAATGTCAGAACCAAAGAAACTTTTAAAATTCATAACAATAATTAATAGAAAAATGGATTATCTCTCAAAGCATTGAGTCAGCAAAACAACAACTACATATTCCACAATCTTTACACTACTATAATTCATGTTTTGCTGTAATTGTTTACCATAAATTGTCATTACCTCACAACTGTACAATTGTATAATTTTTTTATATTGTTGTATTTTTCTGTATACCTTTGTATCAGCATGGGTTTTATCAGAATAAAGCATATGCATATATATACATTTGTATAAGAAAAAGACAACCTTAAGCTGGGTTAAAATATATCACAGAAATGAAATTCTTAACTATACAAAATTCTCACAATCATATCTGTAACAAATATAATAAATTAACAATGACAAAAGTACTGAAATTAGAAAAAAAGAATGCTAAAATAATGCATAGATTTTAAATGGATGTTAGTACATTGTATATATGTAGTAAGTTAAACAACTGTGGGTTCATTATAATTCCTGGGATTTCAATTTTCATGGATTTTGTGGGTATAGATCAACCACCAAAATGTACACATTTTCTATAGTCTTCTATTCAGACTATGACAAAACCATGTAATCAAATATCCAGGAAAAGGCAAGTTCTCCTCAATCCAATAAACTGCTTCGCTGAGCGCAGCTAGATACGCCCGCAGAGGTCCAACCCTGAACAGTTGGGGCAAAAATGGACACAATATTCAAGCTTGATTCAGGTCTGAATTTGGATTGTAATTAAATATTTGACATATTATAGGTTTCTGAATAAATGTAGTCAAAGAACTTGAAATTGGTTTATATATGAATTGAATTTATATTCAATTAAAGATTTCTTGCTGTTGTGCAATAGTCCCCAATACTTAGTAAATCTGTTGTCAGACTATAAACAAATAAAGTTCAATTAATTCTCAATGTCATATTAGAAATTTATGGAAATAAAAAGGGAGCTTACATCAATAGATATAAACAATTCACCAAAGTTTCATGAGAATTGGTGACAGCATTTTTGAGTTATTGTCCGAAAACTGGAAAATCACCCCTTTTTTTTAATGAATAAAACCCAATAACTCAGAAATGTAAAATGTAAAATTTATAAAATTCTAAAGGGAGCTTACATCAATACATACAAACAATTCACCAAAGTTTCATACGAATTGCTGAAAGAATTTTGGAGTTTTTGTCCGAAAACTGGAAAATCCCCCCTTTTTTTATGAATAAACCTTGTAACTCAGAAACGTTAAATTTAAAATTTATAAAAATGGAAAGGGAGCTCATGTCAATAGATATAAACAATTCACCACAATTTCTTGCAAGTTGGTGAAAGCATTCTTGACTTATTGTCCGAAAACTGGAAAATCCCCCTTTTTTTAATGAATAAAACCCCATAACTCGGAAACGTAAAATCTAAATTTTATAAAAAACGAAAGGGAGCTCACGTCAATAGATATAAACAATTCACCAAAGTTTTATGCAAATTGGTAAAAGCATTTTTGAGTTAATGTCCGACATGTTGACGACGGACAGACGGACGGACAGACGGACGGACGGACGGACAGAGGTATACCATAATACGTCCCGTAAACGGGCGTATAAAAACATTGCTACCCATGGAGATAAATGAATCCACAGTGTATCTTTACACAAATGGCACTATTAATTTAAATGGCACATTTAATAGAATTCAAAATTCATAACATATGTGTGCATAAATGTGTAAAATTTTTGAAAACTTTACAATTCCAGTACTGACCTCATTTGTTTCCTCACCCCTACTTTTATTTATATTCACATCTCAACCTTTCTCATTCTCATTGTTGACATTTGCATATATATGAAAATGAAAATTAAAGTTCAATGAAAATGAAAATTAAGTTCAATTTCCACTTTAGTAACATAGATTCTCAATTTTTAAAAATATTTAGGTATATCTTATCATAGCTTAAGACATGTTGTTCTATATCCTAATGTTAATGTATGCTCATATCAATTTTTTTTCTTTTTAACTTTCCACAAGCAGACTGATTTTCAAATAAGGTTCTCTCCGAGCACTCCCACTTCCTCCATCAGACTGCCACAATATGATCAATAGTGCTGAAAGTGTCAATTTTACACTTACTCCAAACCAAGACAGATTATTTGTGTACCGGGTACATTTCAAACATGAAACAAGACAATGTTAATGAATAAATAGTTACAAATGCAAACAGTTAATATGGTTAATAAATTTATGAATTCTTTAATCTGGAATGTTTGAAATTTTTGATATGTTAATATTAAACAATAAAATTACTGATTAAGTTTATACTAAGATCATGTACAGCAAATCCAGGACTTTTAGCTGGATCATGATCCTTAAAATTCTGCTAAGCGGAGCTAGTCAAATTTTTGTTAACGTATTTTATGCAATTTTTTTTTATATTTTTTTAGATTTTAGGGATGTACACAAGGTGTGCCACACGCTTGAATCCATTCCTGATGTGAATACTCAAAATAGGAAAAACAAGCACTATTCAAAATATAGCACTGAATCAAAATTGTCTTGAAGCATTAAATGTTAAAGTTGTACAAAGCACTATCAGCTAAATAAATAAAAAAAAAAAGAAAAAATATTTAAATGATAATTATGAATGAAGTATATCTCCAGAATCCCTTTATGGATGACTAATCAAAAGGTCTTGTCCTTGAACTAACTTCAATATTTTCCTGTGGATCCTGAAAAGAAAATGTAAACAAACATTTACAATAAATTAGATGTAATTTACCTCTCATATAAGTAAAAATGCAAAAGGTTTGTTTACAATCATTTTTGTGTGTTTACAAATAATTTAAGCAAAAATAACATTTTTTGTCATAGAGAGAATTACGGCCAATCTAACAAGTTTTTGCAGTTATATTTATCCACTTACAATAGTCACTCTTTAAAATTGCCAACTCTGCATATAGAAGTACCGAACCCAAGGACTTATGAAACTGTCCACAAAAGAGCCTTCTTGTCTCAAGATGGAAGTTTATTTAATGGAATGATTGCTTAGGGAGATTGTCTTTTTACTAGAGATTTCATGGAGCCTGTATTCAGACCTGTTATTTTTCAGATTTATGCCCCCTCCTTTACACATTTGCTTTGGGCCTTTAAATTCTTTTCCTCTCCAGGCACTTTGGCTTCCTCCACCAATAATAAACTGTTAACACAGAGATATGTCTCGCCTATTTGTTATTTTGATAATGCAAATGTTGAAATTAAAATAGCAATACTTTAACATGTAAGTTATGCAAATATTCAACGTCATTGAACCATGACTGAAGGTACAGGGCTAAACAATTTCAATGGAAATCAGATGTGCCGATGCTAATACAACTGCATACCAAATACCATTGACTTTTCATAAGTAGTTCCATTTAAACAAACCTAAACACAAACATTAACTTGTAAACTATGTAAAAGTTTCAAAGTTAATGAACCATAATGAGGTGGTGGGGTTATATAATCTCCATGGAAATGAAACTTGCAAATGCCAATATATTTGCATACCGAATATCAATGACTTAACATTAGTGGTTCATCTTTAACTAACCTAATCACAAACTAATACATGTAAACTAAGCAAAAGTTTCAAAGTCAATAGACTGAGGGGTAAAGACCAAATATTCTCCATGGAAATGAGATGTGCTAATGCTTATACAACTGCATACACATTATCATTGAAATTCCACTAACGGTTCCCTTTAAACTGACCTAATCACAAACTAATACATGAAAACAAAGCAAAAGTTTCAAAGTCAATAGACCATGACTAAGGGGGCGGGGCGAAATAATCCCAATGGAAATGAAATATGCCAATGCTTATACAACTGTATAACAAATATTACTGACCTACCACTAGTGGTTTCCCATAAACTGACCTAATCACAAACTAATACATGTGAACTAAGCAAAGTTTCAAAGTCAATAGACCATGACTGAGGGGGGGGGGGGGGGTGGGGGTGGGGCCCAATAATCTCCATGGTAATGAGATGTGCCAATGCTAATACAGCTGCATACCAAATATCATTGACCTATCACTAGTGGTTCACCATAAACTAGACCTAATCACAAACTAATACATTGTTGACGCTGCTCCCACCGAAAACAGCATACCTATGTCTTGCTTTTTGACTCCGTCAAGGCGAGACAAAACTGACCACCATGAAATAGCCAATAGTGTTGAAAGTGGCATTAAACAACAATCATTCAATCAATTGCTTGCATCTACATCAATTGGTCTATGGTGGACAGTTGTATCATTGGCAATCATACCACATCTACTGATTTTCATATGGCAAACATTTGAATTAACAGTTTATGTACATTTCTTTGAAACTTACATCTTCCATGCTGTTTTGTGCAGTGCTACTTCCTTGGCTATTATCTGATTCTGGTGCACCAAGGGGTTGACCAGACTCTGTTGTTCCAGAACTGCAGAGAGGCCTTGGGTGATTCTCAGATGAAGATCTGTGTGGAGGCTGGATGCCACTCTCAGATGAAGCTGATCCAGATGTTACAGATGGCTCATTACTTCCTTGATTTCCAACTGCAGGCAGACTTTCAGTCTGTTGTTTATCTGGAAATTTAACTGTCAATGGTTCCTGTTCTTGACGATTGCTAGAAGACGGAGCTACTTTAAAATTTTCGTCATTTGTTGCCGGTTCAACATCAATGCCTCCTGCTGTTGTGTTGGATGGTCTAAAATCTTGATCCTGTCTGTTGTCAGCTCGTCCTAAATTAGGATTTACTTGGTCAGTTGCAGGACTCCGTGGTGTCGGTGCAACTAAAACATTATAGAATATTTATTTGATCTTTTCATTAATCTTATTTAACTCATATGAGACCAGGGCTTCCAAAATTTCCTGACGACAGCCGGACATTTTTCAAAGAATTATTTATGACGGTCAATGATCAGCTGGATACTTAAATGTAACTGAGAGGATGCATAAATTGATATATGTGTCTAAATAATTAGTAGTGTTATATGCAATAAAATTATTTATAACTGTTTTGTTTTCTTCATTCTAAAAATAAATAAAATATTATCCTCGGTATTGTGTCATTTTTCTGTGTATCGTAATACAGTAACCATCATTGCATCAATCAGCTTCAGTATCTGACTGTTCTCATGTTTTTGTTTCTGTTTATATAATCTATCTTCTCTCTGTGAGTACTTAACACTTTGTAAATTAAGGCCATCTTATTTGAAACTGTTGATGTTGGCTTTAATTGCAGTACAACTTGATCATCAATACACGTGATACTTTTCTTTTTGTGTATTTATTACCTGACCACGTGACTTTTACAACTGATGCGGTATTTATAGATAACATTGAGGAGGCCCGATGAAGGATATTGTTTTAAACCGTGTAAAATCTACTGAACAGTGATAACATTTTTCTTTGTACAATTTCCCAACCTGATTTAGAAAATAAGGAATAAATAAAAACATACTTAGTTGATAAATAATTTAATGAATAACAACATGATATTTTATGTAAGCATATAACAACAATAAAATGTCAGAAGAGCACAATGCTGACAAACACACGCAATAAATATTACAATGAGCACATTGAAAAGAAGCACAGATCACAGCACAAGATTAGAGTTCATTTAGTCTAATTAAAGATTTTACATTCATGAGCTTGCTAAATGCATTGTTCTGATAAACATGGCGGTTACGAACGGATTGCCATTTGCGGATAGCAGGAACAGGGTCAAAGTCTTTAACATCTACACCTACTAAGCTTATCCTCATAAGTTGATCTAAAGCGTCAATACCTAGACTACACCTTAGTCGATCATAATTCCCACGGCGGGACTTAACTTTACGTCGGACATCACCTCTTTCTCTATAACATCGGAAATTGTCTGAATAAATTCGGAGCAGGCATTGTTCTCTTGATATAATTTAGAAGTGATCACGGCACCATTTAACTTAGTTAAATTATTTATTGACTGAAATTTGTCCATTGGTTTTTCCTATATATTTTAGTAAATTTTCCCCTTGAGAGTACCCCAGTATTTAACACGATGTACAGTGTTAAATAAAATAATATATATCATACTTATTCATTTATAAATATCCTTATTTGAAGAATAACTTTTAGATATCAGGATACTTTTAAAACTGAATGCTCATTTAAAATAATATCTATAAAGCGTAATTAAATAGGATGTTGTTCCATACACGCTTACATGTTTGACCTCGTTTACCGGATTACCTTTATGTACATTGTTATGCATCATTAATTCTATTGATAAAGATAAGCTAAGGACACCTCATCAAAGGTAACAAACCTGTAATCAGTGAATGATTTATGGCTTCAATATAACTTATTGAAGGGATAATTGTTTGACAGCTTGTTGTTATTTAAATAAAAGAAAACGTGTTTTTTCTACTTTTTATTGATGTACACAAGCTAAAGACCAAGCCGTACATTTATGTACCCAGAGGATTAGACTAACTGAGACACTTCAAAGTATCTGAAATATGCTGCTTCTGTTTTATTAAACCCAATTATGACCGAAATATCTTTGTGAAATAGATTGCCACAATTATAAACTAAAATGCCCAAACGGACATGCCCAAAGCCCCAAACGGACATTTTTATCGATCGATAGTTGGTAAAAATTGAAATGACCGTTTCATGAAAATGCCTTGAATAACAAAATGTGGCACACCAATTCTATTTGACCGTTTGAGGCTGAGAGCAGCCGGTCTTTTTATGAAAGTTTCGGTCAAGTCCGGAATATATGACCGTTTTGGAAGCCCTGTATGAGACAATGAAGTATAGTAAAATACTTAATATATGTACTGTAAATTCAGAAATTATTGTGAGGTTTTTTTAATGTGAATAATGCAACTGGTCAAGTATCCCAATAATAAGAACTTGCATTCTGATATCTGTATGCAGATTGTACTAAAAACACAATAATTAATTTCACATTTTTGTCCATTCTTCAAAAAATGCATTAATAAACGTACACGATAATTTGTGAATTCACAGTATTACCTACTTCAAAGTGTAAAAAACATTTTTCTAGCTCTTTAGTCAGAGCATTAGTACAGACATGATGTTATATCATACAAGACATACATTTTATAAATTATCTATTGATAAATTAAGAAATTATAAAGAAACCAAAAGGTTCCAGATTTTTCAGGCATAGTTGACCATAGGAAGATTAAATCTCATTTTTTAGATTTTTTTTTGTAAAATACTCAAAGTATTTTATACATCCTTGGCATTTTAATTTTTTGGGTTGAATGTTCCTGATAACAGAAAATCAGGAAAAGAACCTTGGACACACCAAATTTAAAAAGTTATACATTTAATTTTCTAGAACAACCTTTTATTATCTAAACTGAAGACCAAATGTAAAATAATTTAAATATTTCAGAGCATGTAAACCAACAAGTTTCAAACAAAACAGCCAAAACAAGACTTAATGTAATCATAAGTATGTTATATGGCATTAAATATTGTGGGAGATTTGCATTTAATCAGATTTTGGCTTGGTGCCTGATAATTTTTTTTAACACTAAAATTCATTAATTTTCTTCTAAATCTATCAAAGAAAGCATATATGCTATGCATATGTTACAAATCATACACCTAATTTTATCACATAAAATATCATGTAAAGTACAGTGTTTTAAAAATTACTTCAAACAGCATTGGTATCAAAAGTAGACTGAAATTTTATATACCTGGAACTACAGGAGGATTTTCTGCCCGGACAAATTCAGGTTTCTTCTTATTGTCACCTCCATCATTATTATGAATCTCTGGAATAGTATCTAAATTGTCTATAAGACTTGCATTCGGTATATTTCCTGTTGATGCTGAAGTATCATTCACATATGTAGATTTAAATGACTGCAGGGCAGGATTCAATTCAGAAGGGATTCCTGTTGACGTTGAAGATATAGTTGTATCATTAGGATTTGATTGAGAAGGGACATCCTGACCACTTGCTGAACTGTGATCAGCTTCATATCCACTCCCAGAGAATAACGGAGTAGTATTGGTGTCCATATCACCTCCTGATCCACTTCTATCCCCATACAAACTGCTAGGTAATGATGTACAACCAATTGAATCTTGACTCTGTTCCTGTGGATGAGATTTTGCCTCCTTGTCTGTAGTTGGTATATTGCTTACAGTTTTATCCTTCTTGTTAATAACTGACTTTGGGACAGTCTCTTCTTCAGAACTACTTAAATGTTCTTCCTCATCTTGTGTAACACTTTTCAAATTTGTTTCAGTAGGGTCTAATTCACTGTCTCTATGTTTATTTTGATGATCCCTATCACTGCCAACTGCACCATTTGAAAAAGGGAGACCATTCATATTACTATTTGAATTAGTTTCATCTTTTATTAATAACTTAGTTTCTGCAGATGGTGATTCTTCAGATTCATTTTCTCCTGGTCCAACCATTTCATGTTCTTCAGGTATCTTAGATGCAGCTTGTCTACATCCTAACCTCTGAAAGCCACTTTGAACAATATCTACAAATCTGCGACAGCAATCTGCATAAAAATCAATGAAAATAAATAATGTGTCCATAGGACACAGATAATGCCACCTCTTGCATATATTGTTATAAAGGGGCATAGGATTGTATGATTTCAAGTGTTTTGAGCAATTTGAATGTATGCATATTTTTTTGAAAATATTGGCAAATGAACGAGTTTTGACACTGTGAATTAATTCAGATTATGGTGATCTAAATAGATAGCACCGATTGTTTCATAATGTTTCTAAATAATAATTTCTAAGGAGATGTGTTATGATTGCCAATGATGTACTGTAAATTGTAAAATTATTGATTTTTTTTTTATTAATGCAAATAATACAACTAAGTGAGTTTTGCAATAAAAGAACTCACATTCTGATGTCCTCTTAGCTAAACCACACACACACTACCATTTCTTAATTTACAGTATTCAGTTGAACTTACATGAAAACTTAAATTATAATTCATATATTTTGCATTACTTACCTGCAAATCTTTTATTTTTCCTGTACAATATCACAAATACCCCTATCATTAAACCTATGACTATAAGTACAATAACTGCTACTATCCTAAAAATAAAAAAATAAAAATTTCTTTCAACAAAGTTAAATAGAAAATCAAGATAAATAATATCTAAGAAAATATAATAGTAAAAAAAGTCATATCTATTAAAACTATTAGCATTAATTGTTTATGTACAATTTGTTAAATTTTCTATTTTTTTTTTAAATGCTGCATGTGGATTCATTATTCTTGGGATAATAATTTTCATGGATTTCTTTCTTTATGAAAAAAAATTGGTATCAGCAAAAATAAATTAATTCAATACGAAGTAAGCTTATCTAATGCAGACGAGTCATTTAAAACAATAATTTTTTTTTTTCTGAATTTCTGAATTGAAATTTTGTATTTTACCAAATTGGACACCAGGTTTTTTTTTCAGCAAAAAGGGCCATGTAAGTTTAATGAAAAACCCTGCACGTCCCCTTTTTATTGTTATAATTCATGAAAAAGTATATGAACACAAATTTAACAAAATCACCTTATTTGGATAGATTAGTTTGAGACAACATTTGCCACATGCACAAACCACCATAAATTTTTGTAAGGGTGTGTATCTAAGCAATATGGAGCTCCAGTAGGGTTACCCCTTAGGTCACAAGGATACGTTAAAAATGACACTTTTAGGCAAACTATACATTTATAATCTGGCCTGATTTTTGGTTTTGAAAATTTCTAAAGGTCACAACTCCTTGTAAACATGACTTCAGGTTGCAAGGTCACCTACAATTCCAAACCCTGTCCCCCACCCCTAGGTCACAATATGCATCTTCCATTAACAACTTTTTGTGGTCCATGGGTGTGGCCAAAGTTTTTGATAAGGATACAATAGGAAGATTCTTTCTAGAAAATCTTGAATACATCAGTCCTATTTTGTTCATTTTTGGCGTTATAGTTTCAAATCTAGAGATGAAGTTGGAAATGTGACTTTCCATAAGATCTTAATGGGAGCTTTGGTCTACTAAAGCCATCATGTGTGCTTTCCAATCTTTATAAAACAATGATCATTTGAGGAGGGTCTTTTAATCACAATTCTGCAAACTTTTGAAACATTTCACCTTAGAGTCTCAGAGGAGAAAGTTTATGAAAATTGACTCAAGGGAATCAATGACAAACCTCTGGCTGCCATGTTTGTTCTTCATTGATAACCAAATGAAGAAATTTTTAGAGACCATTCTATACATCATTCTTGCCAAGTTTATATAAATAAATGTGGATAGTGTCCACATGTGGACACAGATGATGCCCCCGCTTGCATATCATATAGTTATAAACGGACATAACTGAAGAACAGTAAAAGTGATGCTACCCAAATTTGAACATGATCTGAGTTTTGTGTGTAAGTCTCATAACATTTGGTTGAGGCTAACTTAAGTAGAGAACAGAAACTAAAAATTCAGCAATTTTTCTATTTATAAAGGGGCATAACTCAATAATGGTTAAAGTGACACTACCCAAATTCAACTTGATCTGTGTTTTATCAGTGGAAGTCAAAATTAAACATTGCATTGTATAAAGCATTGATTGTAGTTGATTCAACTATAATCATGGACAAAGGAAGATAACTCCAATTTAAAAAAAAATAACTTGATATTTAGAAGAAAATAAAAATTTTGCAATTTTTTCCATTTATAAAGGGGCATAACTCTAGAACGGTTAAAGTGACACCACCAAAATTCAAACTTGATCTGTGTTTTGTGGTAATAAGCATTGTGAATAAGTTTCATAACATTTGGTTGAGGCAAACTTAAGTTAGAGAACAGAAACTAAAAATTTAGCAATTTTTCCATTTATAAAGGGGCATAACTCTAGAACGGTTAAAGTGACGCCACCAAAATTCAAACTTGATCTGTGTTTTGTGATAATGAGCATTGTATATAAGTTTCATAACATTTGGTTGAGGCAAACTTAAGTTAAAGAACGGAAACTAAAAATTTAGCAATTTTTCCATTTATAAAGGGGCATAACTCTAGAACGGTTAAAGTGACGCCACCAAAATTCAAACTTGATCTGTGTTTTGTGATGATGAGCATTGTATATAAGTTTCATAACATTTGGTTGAGGCAAACTTAAGTTAAAGAACGGAAACTAAAAATTTTGCAATTTTTCCATTTATAAAGGGGCATAACTCTAGAACGGTTAAAGTGACGCCACCAAAATTCAAACTTGATCTGTGTTTTGTGGTAATAAGCATTGTGTATAAGTTTCATGACATTTGGTTGAGGCAAACTCAAGTTAGAGAACGGAAACCAATTTTGGGACGTACGTACAGACGGACAAGGGTAAAACTTAATGCCCCCACCGCTACGGCGGGGGCATAAAAATTTAGGATTATAGTTTCAGAGAAAATGATGAAAATGTGATTTCCCATTCAAAATCAAATGAGGACACTTTGAAGAGGGTCTCCCAATCAACAAGCCTCTAAAATTTCACAATACTTTGCCTTGTACTTTCTGAAAAGATTTTTGAAAATTGTTGAGCTAAAAATAATAAGTTTTAAAAATTTTGATTTTAAAAATGTAAACACATGTATTGGCTTTTATAGATCTAATATTAGACCCTCCAGTCGCTAATTTGGTTTACCAAAACTGTCATTGAAAATTTACTAGTTCTGAAAGGACTGTTTACACTCTTTCCTATGCTCTTCCAGTATATGCATGCTTTTAAGACAATGAAAAGAACTTAAGTACATACAAGATGCATATTAGATTCAGGACTTTCCAATCTCAATACTCACCAATGTCTAGGATATAACCTTATAGGTTGCACTTTGTAAATACAGCTGTTTCACAAACCATGCCTCTTTTGGGGAGAAATTTAATATTCATAGATATTTTTTGTTTACCTATTGGTTCCCAGATACAATCTCTAAGCTTCATCTCGTAGAGACACAACTTGGGAATGTTACCAGTATAAATACACATGGATAGCAGCCAAATTGAATTCTGAGGAAGACCCCAAGTGAAAGGAGGGGTTGTACAGAATTTTAATATAAGTTTCAACTCTTAGAAGTTCGAGGCATAAAAATGTTGAAAATATGCCGCACAGCCCTATGTTTTGACCTTTGAAAAAAAAAGCAGTGCATATAAATTTTCCATTCTAGGATATAATTTTTTATGAAACTTCATAGTAAAAGTGGCACAGTTTTAGCCATAAAAGGAGTTCCTATGGGAATTCGTATTGTTTATATTTACAGAAGTGTAACCTTTAATGATACATTATTACTGAATTTTAAAGTATTGAAATTTGTAACCAGTGGTTACATAGTTATGTAACAGTATCTGTATACCTTTAAAAAATATATAAGCGAAGTATTACAATGTTACTGATAAATGAAAACAATATAAATCTCTTGCTTACCAGTCCGATATTGAATTATCACCTTCCTTTACTGGTCTGTTTGTAGTTCCTAAAAAAAATCAATTGTAAATGTCTTTTAATTAGATAATTATCCTTAAAGTGCTCTGCTGTAATTGTGGTTTCAATATTTTATTGTTATGTCTATTTATTAATCTTTTAAATACTTTTTATATAGAAACCCCATTTAACAATATAATGGATCACAAATCAAAATATTATTTTGAAAAACTTTAACACTTACCGATGAGCATTTTATTTGTTATGATAAGAGTAACTCTTGATTTTTTCAGTTTTGGTGTGTGTAAAGAATACATGTTATATTTGAACTAATTTTTGAACTAATTACGACATCAAACTATATTTTACTATTTTATCAACAAACAATTGGTATGAACAATGCTTATCATGTTAAGTGAATTTGGGTTTTATCCTTTTCACTTTTTATTGTAAATATATATTTGTAAATAAAATTTTATCAAATGAAAAACTAGAGGCTCTAAAGAGCCTGTGTCGCTCACCTTGCTCTATGTGCATATTAAACAAAGGACACAGATGGATTCATGACAAAATTGTGTTTTGGTGATCGTGATGTGTTTGTAGATCTTACTTTACTGAACATTCTTGCTCCTTACTATTATCTCTATCTATAATGAACTTGGCCCGGTAGTTACAGTGGAAAATACTTTGTAAAAATTTACAAAAATTTACAAAATTTATGAAAATTGTAAAAAATTGACTATAAAGGGCAATAACTCCTTAAGGGGTCAATTGACAATTTTGGTCATGTTGCCTTATTTGTAGATCTAACTTTGCTGTACATTATTGCTGTTTACAGTTTATCTCTATCTATAATAATATTCAAGATAATAACCAAAAGCTGCAAAATTTTCTTAAAATTACCAATTCAGGGGCAGCAACCCAACAACGTGTTGCCTGATTGGTCTGAAAATTTCAGGGCAGATAGATCTTGACCTAATGAACAAATTTATCCTCATCAGATTTGCTCTAAATGCTTTAGTTTCAGAGATATGAGCCAAAAACTGCATTTTACCCTATGTACTATTTTTTAGCCATGTCGGCCATCTTGGTTCGCGGGCATGGTCATCGGACACATTTTTTAAACTAGATACCCTAATGATGATTGTGGACAAGTTTGGTTAAATTTGTCTTAGTAGTTTCAGAGGAGAAGATTTTTGTAAAATATTACAAAAATTTACGAAAAATGGTTAAAAATTGACTATAAAGGGCAATAACTCCTTAAGGGGTCAACTGACCATTTTGGTCAAGTTGACTTATTTGTAGATCTTACTTTGCTGAACATTATTGCTGTTTACAGTTTATCTCTATCTATAATAATATTCAAGATAATAACCAAAAACGGCAAAATTTCCTTAAAATTACCAATTCAGGGGCAGCAACCCAACAACGGGTTGTCCGATTCATCTGAAAATTTCAGGGCAGATGGATCTTAACCTGATAAATTTTTTTACCCATTTCAGATTTGCTCTAAATGCTTTAGTTTCAGAGATATAAGCCAAAAACTCCTTTTTACCCCTATGTTCTATTTTTAGCCATGGCGGCCATCTTGGTTGGCAGGCGGGGTCATAGGACACATTTTTTAAACTAGAAACCCTAATGATGATTGTGGCCAAGTTTGGTTAAATTTGGCCTAGTAGTTTCAGAGGAGAAGATTTTTGTAAAAGTTAACAGACGACGATGACGGACGACGGACGCCAAGTGATGAGAAAAGCTCACTTGGCCCTTTGGGCCAGGTGAGCTAAAAAAATTAATCTTTTAATGTAAAGTTTGACAATAAAAAAATTGATATGCAAAAGTTGTAAAATAAATTTTTCTAATTCTGAATGCATTTAAACTAATGCTGTTCAGAATTTTGCACTTAGCTTTTTCTATAAAATCATTATAGAAACACATTACCCAATAAATTGCAATATTTTTCCACTCTCGATAGAATAAATATCATTATAAATGGGGAATGTGGTAATATCTATAAATTTATTAATCTTTGTATTTTTTGTAACAAAAGTATGTTCTCTTAATTATTTTTCTCTTGATCATTGCTGGTAGTATCATGGATTTTTTCATCCTTTATAGCAAACAAAAGTACCACAATGATGTTTGTGGCCAAGTTTTGTTCCAATCGGCCAAGTATTTAAAGAGGAGATGATTTTTTGTAAAAAGCATTTTCAATATATAAGAAAAATTAAAAGGGTTAGACAGAACCTTTTGTCTTTGCCTTCAACTGCTGCTTTGAGTGTAAAAATGTTATGTTTACTATCAAAATACTAAGTTCATTGATCAGTGAAATACAGTAAATTTTTAAAAATTAAACAAGAATGTGTCCATAGTACACGGATGCCCCACTCGCAATATCATTTTCTATGTTCAGTGGACCGTGAAATTGGGGTCAAAACTCTAATTTGGCATTAAAATTAGAAAGATCATATCATAGGGAACATGTGTACTAAGTTTCAAGTTGATTGGACTTCAACTTCACCAAAAACTACCTTGACCAAAAATTTTAACCAAAAACTTGAACCTGAAGCGGGACAGATGGACGGACAAACGGACGAATGAACGAACGGACGCACAGACCGAAAAACATAATGCCCCTAGGTGGGGCATAAAAACTTTTAGCCAGGGAGCTGTCCCTTGAATATGAAAGAGCTTCTGTCCATGCTTTGTGAAATTCATTGACGTTTATTTATCAGTTAAACCACAAACTGAAATTTAATGTTGAAGACACCAGCATCAAGATGATGAACTGCAGTTAGCTACCTTAACCCAAAACATAAGCTTGATAAGAACAAATGGACTAACACACAGAATGACAGACCAGAAATATTATGCCATCCTACTATTGTAGACTGGACCAAATAATATATATATATATTAAGGTATTAGCCTTGTACAACCAAGGGTTATCCAATGGAGAACGTCTGTCCTAAAGTTGTCACATGTTTAGACGTATATATATATGTAGTTTTAGTCTTTTTAGATTTTTGGTTTGAAGATCTTCCATTGACTTTGTTGAAGTTATTTTATAATTTGTCTCGATCTGCCATACATTATAGTTGCTTGTGCATGACACTATATCAAAATGATCAAGCTTTGGTGAATTAAAGTTATTCGGTAAGTGTTCTCGTTGAATTTTAACCCACATTTCCTTTTGTCATATAGAAAAGTAATGTCTTATTACACTTGAATAATGAAATACCTACTTGTGTCTGGAGGTGCTGTCGTGATTGGAGGTTTTTCTGTGGGGAGTTTTTTACATGTTCTGTCAGTTGTAGAGGAACCACCGCTATTTTCTATTTCATGACTTTTACATCTACAGAAGACAAATACCAATTACATATGTAGTTTACAAAACATTTTGAACAATAAAATAAGTATAACAAAAAAAACAAACTGCACGGTAAATTCGAAAAGGGGGAAATCCATAAAAACTGACAAAATCAAACGTTAGACAATGATTTATACAATCATGCCAAGATTTACCGCTGTTCTCTCAGTTGCAACAAAAGGGGGACTGTAAGTGGAATGTAAGCATTAAAGCATAGCTATATGTAAGTTTATATTAGAACACAAAAGAAGCATTTTCAAAAATTAAAGAATGTAGTTGTCGTGGTGACGTCATCTGTGTTTGTTTTCATGAAAGCGACTAACTCAGGCCACACTTAAAAATATTTTGGTTTGCCCAAACCCTACCCAAAAGTAGAGACAGTGGGTAGGTAGGTAGGCATTTTCTTTTTTTTTGGCAAAGAGAAATTGAAATGTCAGATGTTTTTTTTTATCTTCCTCTTCCTGCCTATCTGATTAAAAAAAAAAAAATTTATAGGGTTAGGGCAAACAAACATATTCTTTTTTATGGCCTCACACGCTGAGAAAATAAAATTGTCTTTGGAGTCAGTTTTATGCTTTTACACTAAAACAAATGAAAATTTATGACAAGGAGAATGTTAAAAGTAAAGGAGAATGATAAAAGTAAAGGAGAATGTTAAAAGTAAAGGAGAATGTTAAAAGTAAAGAACTTATTTTAATTCATGTTGGTAAAGAAATTTAAGAAAAGACTTTTCATGACTCTTGATATTTGAAAATGGTTTGTCAAATAGAATAATCATGAGAACAGTTTTCATTAACCCAATCCCATTTTACCTATAGCTAGAAGAAACAATACTTGAAACTGACTGGACCATTATAAGAGATAATCAATTTCAAAATAGATTGAACTTCTATATTGGCTAGACTGTAAGTAAAAATAAATTGTATTCTCTAACCCAAAGTAAATTCAAAGTGAATAAATCCCATTTATTCTTCATGACAAATCTTTGTAATATTTCTATCTGATGACAAATCTTTGAGATATTTGTTCTTCATGACACATCTTTGAGATATTTGTTCTTCATGACATATCTGAGATATTTGTTCTTCATGACACATCTGAGATATTTGTTCCTCATGAAAAATCTTTGTGATATTTGTTCTTCATGACACATCTTTGTGATATTTGTTCTTCATGACACATCTTTGTGATATTTGTAAACTAAACTTACTGCAATAAAGCCATCATGAAGGGAAAGTTACAATGAACCCTTTATAACAGGCAAATCATTTTAACTAGTAAATATCATGCTACAAATCAACTTACCTTGTTTTATTTACACATTGTCCGTATTCACCATCTTTTTGTTTGAATGTATCACCAGAACATGGAACACACTGACCTACAACAAAAACAATAACAAGTTTTGTACCCAGAACATGAAACACACTGACCTACAACAAAAACAATAACAAGTTTTGTACCCAGAACATGAAACACACTGACCTACAACAAAAACAATAACAAGTTTTGTACCCAGAACATGAAACACACTGACCTACAACAAAAACAATAACAAGTTTTGTACCCAGAACATGAAACACACTGACCTACAACAAAAACAATAACAAGTTTTGTACCCAGAACATGAAACACACTGACCTACAACAAAAACAATAACAAGTTTTGTACCCAGAACATGAAACACACTGACCTACAACAAAAACAATAACAAGTTTTGTACCCAGAACATGAAACACACTGACCTACAACAAAAACAATAACAAGTTTTGTACCCAGAACATGAAACACACTGACCTACAACAAAAACAATAACAAGTTTTGTACCCAGAACATGGAACACACTGACCTACAACAAAAACAATAACAAATTTTGTACCCAGAACATGAAACACATTGACCTACAACAAAAACAATAACAAGTTTTGTACCCAGAACATGAAACACACTGACCTACAACAAAAACAATAACAAGTTTTGTACCCAGAACATGGAACACATTGACCTACAACAAAAACAATAACAAGTTTTGTACCCAGAACATGGAACACACTGACCTACAACAAAAACAATAACAAGTTTTGTACCCAGAACATGGAACACTGACCTACAACAAAAACAATAACAAGTTTTGTACCCAGAACATGGAACACACTGACCTACAACAAAAACAATAACAAGTTTTGTACCCAGAACATGGAACACATTGACCTACAACAAAAACAATAACAAGTTTTGTACCCAGAACATGAAAGACATTGACCTACAACAAAAACAATAACAAGTTTTGTACCCAGAACATGGAACACACTGACCTACAACAACAAAAATAACAAGTTTTGTACCCAGAACATGGAACACACTGACCTACAACAAAAACAATAACAAGTTTTGTACCCAGAACATGAAACACATTGACCTACAACAAAAACAATAACAAGTTTTGTACCCAGAACATGAAACACACTGACCTACAACAAAAACAATAACAAGTTTTGCACCCAGAACATGAAACACATTGACCTACAACAAAAACAATAACAAGTTTTGTACCCAGAACATGAAACACATTGACCTACAACAAAAACAATAACAAGTTTTGTACCCAGAACATGGAACACATTGACCTACAACAAAAACAATAACAAGTTTTGTACTAACATCCTGACTATTATAATGATCACATGATCAAATATGGTACAAATCGCTTTTAAAAAAGTCATTTTATAGAAAATAAGATTAGGTAGCAACATTTCATAGCAGCAAAGTATCACCTTTTGTTAAAGTTTAACCACAGGGGGGTCTCAACATGGCATTTTGGGTATAGAGGTATAGCTGGGATTTCATTAACACCCCCCTTTCATTTATTGAAGTCTAGTGAAAATCATGACCCATAAATATATTTCATGTCAAAATCATAATACATTTATATATACCGTGAAAGTACTTTTATTCGTTAAGTACCAATTTTCGTGGTATTCATGGACGGCTTTGTCCACAAATTTAGGTGTCCAATGAAAATAACAACTGTTGTCCGAATCAAGACATGGAAAGATCCCCATGTAGGTTTGACTACATGGATACGAACATATAATCTAGAGACTACATCAAATATCAACAAATACACTATGAACTATTATATACAAGTTCAGACAGGTTTTACCAATCTAATCTTTAAATAAACTGTTATCACAGAGATATGTCTCACATTTTTGTAATTTTGATAATGCAAATGTTGAAATTAAAATAGCAACACTTTCCCATGTAAGTTATGCAAATATTCAAAGTTGATGAACCATGATTGAAGGTACATGCCTAAACAATCTCCATGGAATGAGATGTGCCAATGCTAATACAACTGCATACCAAATACCATTGACTTATTATAAGTCATTCCCTTTAAACAAGCCTAAACACAAACATTAACTTGTAAACTATGTAAAAGTTTCAAGGTCAATGAACCATGATCAGGGGTGGGGCTAAATAATCTCCATGGAAACGATACTTGCAAATGCCAATAAATTTGCATACCAAATATCATTGACTTAACATTAGCAGTTCACCTTAAACTGATCTAATCACAAACTAATACATGTAAACTAAGCAAAAGTTTCAAAGTAAATAGACCATGACTGAGTGGGCGGGGCCAAATATTCTCCATGGAAATGAGATGTGCTAATGCTTATACAACTGAACAACAATTAACATTGGCCTACCACTAATGGTTCCTCTTGAACTGACCTAATCACAAACTAATACATGTTAACTTAGCAAAATTTTCAAAGTCTATAGACCATGACTAAGGGGGCGGAGCCAAATAATCTCCATGGAAATGAGATATGCCAATGCTTATACAACTGCATACCAATATCATTGACCTACCACTAGTGGTTCCCCATAAATTGACCTAATCTCAAACTAATACATGTAAACTATGAAAAGTTTCAAAGTCAATAGACCTTGACTGAGGGGGCGGGGCCAAATAATCTCCATGGTAATGAGATGTGCCAATGCTAATACAACTGCATACCAAATATCATTGACCTACCACTAGTGGTTCACCATGAACTAGACCTAATCACAAACTAATACATTGTTGACGCCGCCGTTGACACCGCCGCCGGAAACAGCATACCTATGTCTCGCTTTTTGACTCTGTCAAGGCGAGACAAAAACCTTAACTGTATGACTTTTAACATTTTAATTCTCATGATAAATAAGTTTTGATTGATATGATGATGATCTCTAATGATGAAGTGTCCATTTTATCTCCCCATAATCCTCATACGAAAAATAAATAAATTTCATATTGGGCGTACCTATCTATTTCATAAGAATTAATTCTACGATTCAAAGTACATTTGTAGCATTTTTTTTATGTATATTTTTTTAACCGTTTTCTTTAAGTGACATGTTTACAGCCTAATTACTGTGACTTGACTGTCAATGTTGCTCTCCACCTCTTACAATTTATTCAAAATTTTTATATTCAGTAAAATATATGTAAAATACAATATGTTGTTAGTAAGTTTCCATGGGAGATAATAAATTTTTCTTTCGAAAAGTCTTCTATATTCAAAAGAATAATGATTTTAGATTATCTCTCATGGAAACTTATTAACGACAAATTGTAACTTCACATATATTTTACTGAATATAAGACGTTTTAATTCAAATGATGTCTGATTCTTGTGAATATAGAAGACTTTTCGAAAGAAAAATTGTACGAAAGCTTAGTTTGAACATTTTTATAGCAATTCAAAATTACTACCCATCACATTTAGCATGATAATTACAATAAAATTTGTATAGAAATTGTTAGACTGATTTTTTTATAATATCATTGAAGTGGAATTAAAGTCTTATAGGATTGTAAGTATGCTTTATTTTATCACCTTGCACTTTCACCACTTGACTGTGTTTTCTACAGCAGTTTGTTAAAATTTCTGACCAGTTGAACAATTTGGTTTTATAAAACAAATTGCAATTTGGTCAGAATCTTGAATAAACTGCAATAGGTGGAGAGCAACACATACAGTCAAGTCACAGTAACACCTTTGATGATCGTTAATCTGTTGATCATTCGATCTTGGGTTAATTAGTGTCATCACTTCTGATTACACGTGTGCAACAATTCAAATGTTTACTTTGCAATTTCCTTCAATCAGACAATTTGTAAGCAAAGATGAATCAGCTTATTTTGGAAAGCAATAATTTTATTAAAAATTGAATGTTGTCAGTAATGAAAGACGAACAAGTAAATGTCCCACAAATCATTATGAAACAATATATATATGATTATTTTCAAGAATCTTTGTTTCTTATGGCTTTAAATTCTTCACTCATTTTTTTCTCAGAAAACTAAAATCCATTAATTTAACATTAAACATGTAAATTTTGCTCAAACAACGAAAATTGATACTCACGAAGAGACCCCCTCCATGCATTTTACATGATCTATTATAGAACTTTATAAAAAATGTATTTACTTGTTATAAAATCTGAAACTTTACAATAATGGCTCAGTAGAATATTTTTGCCGTAAGAAAAATACTTCAAAGCCATCATCTATAGCAGATATTGCTTGTGAAAAGAAAACAGTGAAACATTTACTTTTTCTGATCTCATGAATATTCAAGCTTGTAGGTCAAACTTGTCAAAGGAAATTAAGTCAGGTAATTTAAATATTTTGTTCATATCTTTGTCACTCAGAGTGTTCTCCCCTGGCTTTCATTTAGCATTCTGGTAAACAGGGAAATTTGAAATACCATCTTGTTTCTAAAAATTATAGCATCACATCCATAACATAATCTATAAGAAAACCAATTCAGATAGCATCACATTCAAGAAACATACCATCACATTACCATGATGCTAAAAGGCCCTGGGGAGAACACGGATTAGTCTCTGCCATGAGGTTATAGGCACATGTATCAAAAACGAAAATGGGCACAAACCATAAGAAGCAGTAATAGCCTATGAGGGTCATGTTTTCAAGGAAATTAAATTCAATCAAAGATTTTTGTTAAGGACCTACCAAACCATTTGTTAGCAAAGTTTTTTTCAGGTGGCACTAGACTTTACAAAAGAGATGATATTTATCTCATTGGCATTGATGGTAATTATTATTATTAAAGGTCTAATTACAAAAAGTAAGATGGAGACATATGTGTACAAATAACCCATCATAGTCAACTTATATGCTAACCCATCAACACAACATGCAGATATTATTGATTCTCTGCCATTCATCAAACATTAAAATTTGATAGGATGAGTTGTGACAATATACAATGAATACATAAAATGAACCTATGATACCAAATTCAGTCTGACAACATAAAGTATGGTTTTAGAATACTGTTAATTCATAAATTATTGTGCGGTTTTTATTAATACGAATATTACGACTGGTTGAGTATCGTAATAATAAGAACTCACAATGTGATAACTGATACATACATTTGTACATGATGTATGCAGATTTTTCTGAAATCACAATAATTAATCTTGCATGTTTGTCCATTCTTCAAAAATTGAAATATAAAATGCAGACAATAATTTCTGAATTCAGTAACTGCCTTGCTAGTTGAAGTCTAGGAAGCAAAATTCATTAACACATCCTCATGATCCTGAAGTTAATTGGTCATTAAAAGGCAATAGCAATTTATGGATTTACTCAAACTTGAGGGAATTGTTTAAACTTAAATTGGAGTTTAGATTGGTGCATCTATATCTTAAGTATATCCTGCGATGAATGCACAACCATATAGATGAGTTTGTTTGGTTGTTTGTGTTTAACACCAGTTTCAATGACCGTGGCTATATTATTGCAGTTAGTTTTTTGTCTCACCTCAATATATAGTTTATATTGGCGAAGGAAGCCAGAGTACTTGTAGAGAACCAATACCATCAGCAGGAAAACTGGTAATCTTTGTCAACTAATGTATGACTCAAACACACCTTGCTACAAGCGGGACTTAAACTCAAAACTTCAGAATGACACCATATTGATACGCAGAAGATCTAAATAACTTCAACCATTCTTGAAAAAAACTTTTACTCACCTTCATATGTTAACTGAACTCCAGCTCTTTTACAGTTTAGTTTATCTAACTGGCAGTTGTGTTCATCTGTGCCCCAATATCCTTCATTCAAATTGCACTGACACTTACGGCCAACAAGAACTACTTCCTCTGTAACAAAAAGTTATAATTGAAGCCAAGAGCAAATATAGACTATGAGAAAATACAATAATTAAAGGAACAGCTACCACTGAAAAAGTATAATGCTAGTTACAAGTCTTCTTCTGAATTGTTTCACTGCTACTACAACTTTTTAGTACACACAATTCATTCAAATGCTACCTTTTATTACTTTATAAATATACCCGGTATATAAATATCAGAAAAAAAGGTTAAAAGACGAGCAAGATTCTTAGCAGTTCTATGGTACTCTGATCATTTATGTGTACTGTAAATTCAGAAAGTATTGTGTGCATTTATTATTGCAAATTTTGAAGAATGGACAAAAATGCAAGATTATTTATTTATTGCAATGTCATGGAAATCTGCATACAAATATATGTATCAGAATGATATAAGAATGCAAGTTCTTATCATTGCAATATTCTCCCAGTCACATTATTTGCATGAATAAAAACATTTATTTCTAAATTCACAGTATCTCTTCTTGGCTGTCTTATTCTGACTTACATTTTAAGTGATGACTGTTAAAAAAGTCACAATTTAATCTTCAAGGCAATTTAGAGCTTGACATAAGACCTACTGTTGACCTCTACATGTCTATTTTGCTTTTTTGTGTTGTTGGGTTAACATTGCTGTCTCTTTAATGTATACCCTACACATGAATCTCCAATCAGTGATATCTATTTTATACTGTAGGTGATTCAACTTATAAATTATGGAATGAATAAACAAGTAATATAATGTTGATGATGATGAATTTGTGTTTTATGTCCAGTGGCAAGGATTACATGCATATCAGGATGAAAACATGTTAATGTGAATATAAACACTGCTTTTGTACTAGATCTAGACCAACACACAGAACCAGATTTTGAAAGTGCTCGTTCATGGGGTGACAGTTAACAGCAGAAATTGTTATTGTTTTCAAGTGCTGTGTGTATAGGGAAGAAGCAGAAAATATCAATTTTCAAGTCTCTCCATTATATAAGCTAAAACGTTCACATAAAAAGTTACAAGTTGATGTGACCACAACTTCATTGTCAACTACCATAACCAAAAACATAAACCTGAAAATGCACTGGTTTCACACAATCACATTTCCATGTTCAGTAAACCCTAATTTTGGGTAAAAAAATCATAATTTGCATATAATTTATAAAGTTCACATCTTAATGAACATGTGAATTAGGTTTCAAGTTCATGTGATCACAACTTAATGGTTAACTACATTGATTGATTTATTGATTGGTGTTTAACGCCACTTTCAACACTATTGTGCTATTTTATGGCGGTCAGTTTTTACTGGTGGAGGAAGCCAGACTACCCGGGAGAAAACCACCGACCTTTGGTAGGAAAACTGACAATCCTAGTCAATTAAGATTTGAGTTGAGTGCACCTGCCCCGTGCAGGATTCAAACTCACAACCTCAAGTGTTCACAGGCTAGTGATACAGTAGTTTGACTACTTAGACCACTTGACCAACAAGGCCTAACGAACTTTGTGTAATGAAAAATAACTGTAAAATCACAAGGCCCCTGTAAACTACATTGAACAAAATCTTTAACCTGATGGAGGAGAGACGAATAGATGGTCCAGCATAGACCAGAAAAAAAGCCTTCCCTACTGTTGGGCATAAAAAATAGCAAGAGACTCGATCACCTATGAAATAAAATGCTCAGCTGGGCTCAGCTTGATACAACCGCAGAGGTCGAACCCAGAACAGTTGGGGCAAGTATGGACACAACATTCAAGCTTGATACAGCTCTGAATTTGGATTGTGATTAAATATTTGACACAGCAAAGGTTTCTGACACAGAATGAATGTGGTCTATTAACTTAAAATAAAATGCTTCGCTGGGCGCAGCTTGATACGACCGCAGAGGTCGAACCCTGAACAGTTGGGGCAAGTATGGACACAACATTCAAGCTTGATACAGCTCTGAATTTGGATTGTGATTAAATATCTGACACAGCATAGGTTTCTGACACAGAAAGAATGTGGTCTAAGAATTTGAATTTTTTTAATTTACCTATTATGGTCCAATGTCCAAAATCAAAATACATGGTTAGATTCAGCATATCAAAGAACCCCATATATTTAATTTTTGTTGAAATCAAACAAAGTTTAATTTTGGACCCCAACTTGGACCAACTTGAAAACTGGGCCCATAATCAAAAATCTAAACACATGTTTAGATTCAGCATATCAAAGAACCCCAAGAATTCAATTTTTGTTAAAATCAAACTAAGTTTAATTTTGGACCATTTGGACCTTAATGTAGACCAATTTAAAAAACGGGACCCATAAATTAAAAATCTAAATACACGGTTAGATTTGGAATATCAAAGAAAACCAATAATTCAATTTTTGATGAAATCAAACAAAGTTTAATTTTGGACCCTTTTGACCTCAATATGAACTAATTTGATAGCGGGGCCCACAAATGAAAAATCTAAATACATGGTTAGATTCAGCATATCAAAGAACCCCATATATTCAATTTTTGTTGAAATCAAACAAAGTTTAATTTTGGACCCCAACTTGGACCTACTTGAAAACTGGGCCCATAATCAAAAATCTAAACACATGTTTAGATTCAGCATATCAAAGAACCCCAAGAATTCAATTTTTGTTAAAATCAAACTAAGTTTAATTTTGGACCATTTGGACCTTTATGTAGACCAATTTAAAAAATGGGACCCATAAATTAAAAATCTAAATACAGGGTTAGATTTGGAATATCAAAGAAAACCAATAATTCAATTTTTGATGAAATCAAACAAAGTTTAATTTTGGACCCTTTTGACCTCAATATGAACTAATTTGATAGCGGGGCCCACAAATAAAAAATCTAAATACATGGTTAGATTCAGCATATCAAAGAACCCCATATATTCAATTTTTGTTGAAATCAAACAAAGTTTAATTTTGGACCCCAATTTGGACCAACTTGAAAACTGGGCCCATAATCAAAAATCTAAATACAAGGTTAGATTCAGCATATCAAAGAACCCCATATATTCAATTTTTGTTGAAATCAAACTAAGTTTAATTTTGGACCATTTGGACCTTAATGTAGACCAATTTAAAAAACAGGACCCATAAATTAAAAATCTAAATACACGGTTAGATTTGTAATATCAAAGAAAACCAATAATTCAATTTTTGATGAAATCAAACAAAGTTTAATTTTGGACCCTTTTGACCTCAATATGAACCAATTTGATAGCGGGGCCCACAAATAAAAAATCTAAATACATGGTTAGATTCAGCATATCAAAGAACCCCATATATTCAATTTTTGTTGAAATCAAACAAAGTTTAATTTTGGACCCCAATTTGGACCAACTTGAAAACTGGGCCCATAATCAAAAATCTAAATACATGTTTAGATTCAGCATATCAAAGAACCCCATATATTCAATTTTTGTTGAAATCAAACAAAGTTAAATTTTGGACCCTTTGGACCTTAATGTAGACCAATTTTACAACTGGACCCAAAATTAAAAATCTAAATACAAGGTTAGATTCGGCATAACAAATAAATAAATGTGGTCAAAGATTTTACAAATCTAATGCGCCATACTGTGCAATTAAAGATTACTTCTTGAAATTTTTCAATATTTGAAATTTGAAAAAAAAATAAGATTTGAAGAATAATTCTTTTTAATTTCTGAAATCTGAAATGAGAAAAAATTGACCCCCCACAATTTCTTTTTACCCCCCCCCCCCCCTTTTTTTCCCCAAAAAAATTCTTTCCCTCAAGATATGGTCATAATCTCAATTCAAATTTTTCAATGGAGTTGGCAACCATAATTACCCATTTAAATTTACCATAGTGCTAACTTAATCTATTTTATAATAGAATTTAAAATATAGTGTCAAATCTTTCATATGGATTTTTTTGTAAAAAAAAAAGATGCAACATTTGCAGATATTTTTACTGGTCTTCCTTTATAAATATGCATTTCTTTAAACATAATTTAAAAGCAGTGTAAGGGAAGTAACCAAAACGTTGTATTTGGATTACCTCCCTTACACTGTTTTAAATTATCTTAATTGTTCATTAACCATTACTTTATACATAATTTAAAAGCAGTGTAAGGGAGATAATTTCAATGATGTATTTGATTTATCTCCCTTACACTGCTTTAAAATATGTTTTGTACTAAAGTATTTGTCCATTAACCAGGACAACCTTGTTTTTCCCCCTTTTTTGCCCCTAATTCCTAAACGGTTTGAGCCATAACCCCCCAAAGCAAATCCTAACCATCCCTTTGTGGTATGGAAACTTGTAGTATAATTTCAGAGAGATCCATACACCGTTCCACAGTTATTGTCTGGAAACTAGAAAATGCTTATTTTTGGCCCCTTTTTGGCCCCTTATTCCTTAACTGTTGGTACCATAACCCCCAAAATCAATCCCAACCTCCCTTTTGTGGTATTTAACCTTATGGTCAAATTTCAAAAAGATCCATTCACTTAAACTAAAGTTAGAGTGCGAAAACCAATGTGTCTTCAGACGAGGACGCCGGACGACAACGTCATACCAATATACGACCACAAAATTTTTTTGCGGTCGTATAAAAACCAATGTGTCTTCGGGAGATGATGACTACGACTACGACGCCGCCTACGTCATACCAATATACGACTGCAAAATTTTTTGGCAATCGTATAAAAATATGCTATTTTGATATTTTTTTTACCTTTAATGAAATCAGTTCCATGTTTGCTAAGTATTTGTAGATCTTAGTTACCGTAGAAACTCGCCTAATAGTCGATCCTACTATAAGTCGGGGGCCCTTTTCAGCTCCAAATTCTAAGGATTTCGTCTTGACCCTCGTATAAGTCGGACAAAATTTGGGCATTTTTTTTTCAGCTGACAGTAACTGAACGCCGGTAAAACCAATGCAAATCCAGGAATAATATTCATTTCTGCATTAATGTTTGTTTGGTTTGAATTTAGTTGATGCTCATCATGATAATTTATATTGCTGTTAATAATAAAGATGTATTCATTTCTCTTGTTTTGTTCACTGTTCAAATGTTAAATTAGCCATGTGTTGTTATGTAATGCATCAATGATTTTGTAGGGTATGACTAACAACCTATTGTTTGAGAAAAGCGAATATAAACCTATATGAACCTGAAAAATTTAAAGTCAATCAACACTTGATGAAAATATTTTTCACAGCATACATAACTCGGTGTTAAATGAGCATGTACACTTCATAATTCTTATTATATTGTGATGATTAAAGGATTAAAAAAATTAAGTGAAGCTAATCAATATATTAAAATAACTAACTCCAACTCATTAGTGTCATCTGTTTACCTATCACTGATAGTTTTCACACTTTTAGTAAATACAACTCTTTGTCTCTTAATTGGGGTTATCAATGGATTATATTGGCTTGTCAATCAATTTTGTAATTTTTGTTTACCTGAGACACTTTAATGAATAATATTTTGATTTTGGGAATGAATCTTAAAATTATTTTTTGATTATTATATGATTTATAAGCATTGAATTGATATCATGATATCACAATAATGACACAATAACTCCGCTGAAAACATCCTTTCACATATTTAGTACATTGTTATCTCCTTTTCATTTTTGGTTCTTGGCTCTTCTTTTGGGTTTATAGGAAAACCATGTGACCATGAAAATCAATACACAAACCGGAAACAGTAGAATTTCAACACGAATTTGCAGAAAATGTTTACCAAAGAACAAATAAAACACAAAGACAGTATTGTAGTCATTTATTTTCAACAAAAACTTTTTATTTATTGATTTATGTAGGTTTGGCAATCAAAAACGTAGTTTTGACCAGGAAATTCACTCCTGACCACTTTTCTCAAGCTTGGATTTTTCCTCTGGTCGCTAGATCTCGTCTATTAGTCGGTCCCCCTCTCTGGATTATGAATTTTACTCCCAATTTTCCGACTAATAAGCGAGTAGGAACGGTAGTGTCATTTTTTGTAGATTTTGTATTGATGATCAGTTTTACTGTTTACAGTTTCTACCTACCTGTATCCGTTATAGTATTCTAGATAATAGGCAAAAACATTAAAATTTGCCCAAAAACATCATTTAAGGGCAATTATTGAACTCAATTTATAACATTTGGTGAAAATAGGAAGTAGAGATCTTGACATTCTGAGCATTTTTGCCCTCTAAGACTTTCTCTATCTATTATGGTTTTCAAGACAATTAAGGGATTTTAACCTTTATACCAGACAGCTTTTCCTGCTCAACTTATAACACTCCTTGCATTGCAAATGCTAAATCTAATAAGTGATATTCATTGTCAGAGAATGTGTGAACATATAATTCTTACCTGCTTTACAGCTTGGAAGAGGAGAACATATTTGCGTTTCCGCTTGATATTTTCCATTGTCATGAATAGGCCATTGGCTGGTATCAATTAGGTCATCTGTGTAGCTATTATTCGTACAATTTCTGCATGTGTCTTTTTCCCCATCATACTGACAGTAATAAAACTGCTGGCCTTAAATAAAATAGCATGTTCCAAAATATCAAATATTTTAAAAGTTTGCCAATGACAAATTCTTTTGTTTAATTTGATCTATTAATTATGAAATTAATATCCAACAGGAATATGTGATAAAAGGCTTGCACTTCCAAATTTTCATATTCAGTGAACCTAAATTTCGCAAATATCTCAAATTAACTAACTTTAAATTCAAAAACTATTATCACGATTTTTGAAGAAGAGACAAAAATGGGAGATTAATTATTACGATTTCAGGAAAATCTGCATTCATATGTATTTATCCGTTATCAAAATGCGAGTTCTTATCAGTCAGGGAACTTACTTAAATGAGTGATTTTTTAAATCACTGATTCAAGTAACATTATGTCCATAAAGGTTGGAAGTAAGAGTTGTCTTTCTTTAATAATCATCTATTTAAGTAGTACAAATTAATCACTAGACTAAGTGATTTAATTTTATTGTAGCTTTAAATATAGAATACTAATGATTCAGGGACTAATTATGTTGCTAAAATTATCAGAACCAACATCTGTGTTGATAGGATGACCGTGTCTTGTCAGGTGATGACCTTGTACTGAATCTAGGATAATGACATAAAAATCATTTGTTTAAGTATCATACCTCAATTTCCCTCCAAAAAATCACTTCTTTAAGTATCATAATTTTAATAACCCCCACTAATTTCAACACCCCCGAACAGTGAAATTTTGATCGCGAACAGTAGAATTTTATTACATAATCTGTAAGATGAAGCCTTGAATTTTACAGGAAAAATACTCCCACTGTTGGGAAAAATCTGTTAAGAAAGTATCAGTTCATTATGTAAAGCCATTTTTATAGCATTTTTTCAACTAAAATAGAATTAGCAGCTAAATGATTGCATCAAAGGTATAAACCTTGCTGTTTAAAAGAAGCTAAAAGTTCATTTTTTTCAATTTTACTAATGAAAAGATATTATCTAAACCTATGTGTTTAAAATTTTGGTAAAACTACAAAATCACAATTTGTGACAAAACTTTGAATTTGCTACTTAAATAAGTGATTTAAAAATCACTTATTTCAATAAGTCCCCTGACTGCTTATTATTGCCATACTCACACAGTTGCATTTTTCGCATACCTTATTTAGCCGTGTATAGTATGCAGTTGTGTATAATACGCACTCCCTTTTCATCCCTCCAAAATCGTGAAAAAAAAGTTTAAAAAAAAATATGAATAATAAACTGCTTCGCTGAGCGCAGCTAGATATGCCAGCAGAGGTCCAACCCTGAACAGTTGGGGCAAAAATGGACACAATATTCAAGCTTGATTCAGGTCTGAATTTGGATTGTAATTAAATATTTGACATTTTATAGGTTTCTGAATAAATGTAGTCAAAGAACTTGAAATTGGTTATATGAATTGAATTTATATTCAATTAAAGATTTTTTGCTGTTGTGCAATACTTAGTAAATCTGTTGTCAGACTATAAACAAATAAAGTTGCATCAATTCTCAATGTCATATTAGAAATTTATGAAAATAAAAAGGGAGCTTACATCAATACATACAAACAATTCACCAAAGTCTCATAAGAATTGCTGAAAGCATTTTGAGTTTTTGTGCGAAAACTGGAAAATCACCCCTTTTTTATGAATAAAACCCTGTCACTCGTTAACGTAAAATCTAAAATTTATAAAAAATCAAAAGGGACCTCATGTCAATAGATATAAACAATTCACCACAATTTCTTGCAAGTTGGTGAAAGCATTCTTGACTTATTGTCCGAAAACTGTAAAATCTCCCTTTTTTTAATGAATAAAACCCCATAACTCGGAAACGTAAAATCTAAATTTTAAAAAAAATCGAAAGGGAGCTCACGTCAATAGATATAAACAAATCACCAAAATTTTATGCAAATTGGTTAAAGCATTTTTGTGAGTCAATGTCCGACATGTTGACGATGGACAGACGGACGGACTTACGGGACAACACTTTACCATTATACGTCTCGTAAACGGGCGTATAAAAAGTCAAATAAAATAAAAATAGAAAAGTAAAAATCAAAATTAAAAAATAAAAATAAAAATAGAAAGGTAAAAATGAAAATTAAGATTAAAAATAAACTGTTATCACAGAGATATGTCTCGCCTTTTTGTAATTTTGATAATGCAAATGCTGAAATTAAAATTGCAATACTTTAACATGTAAGTAATGCAAATATTCAAAGTCGATGAACCATGACTGAAGGTACATGGCTAAACAATCTCCATGGAAATGAGATGTGCCAATGCTAATACAAATGCATACCAAATACCATTGACTTATTATAAGTCTTTCCCTTTAAACAAACCTAAACACAAACATTAACTTGTAAACTATGTAAAAGTTTCAAAGTCAATGAACTATGAAGAGGGGGTGGGGTTATATAATCTCCATGGAAAAGATACTTGCAAATGCCAATAAATTTGCATACCAAATATCAATGACTTAACATTAGCAGTTCATCTTAAACTGATCTAATCACAAACTAATACATGTCAACTAAGCAAAAGTTTCAAAGTAAATAGACCTTGACTGAGGGGCGGGGCCAAATAATCTCCATGGTAATGAGATGTGCTAATGCTTATACAACTGAACACCAATTAACATTGGCCTACCACAAATGGTTCCCCTTGAACTGACCTAATCACAAACTAATACATGTAAACTTAGCAAAATTTTCAAAGTCTATAGACCATGACTAATGAGGCGGGGCCAAATAATCTCCATGGAAATGAGATATGCCCATGCTTATACAACTGCATACCAAATATCATTGACCTACCACTAGTGGTTCCCCATAAATTAACCTAATCACAAACTAATACATGTTAACTGAAAAGTTTCAAAGTCAATAGACCTTGACTGAGGGGGCGGGGCCAAATAATCTCCATGGTAATGAGATGTGCCAATGCTAATACAACTGCATACCAAATATCATTGACCTACCACTAGTGGTTCACCATGAACTAGACCTAATCACAAACTAATACATTGTTGATGCCGCTGCCGCCCGAAACAGCATACCTATGTCTCGCTTTTTGACTCCGTCAAGGCAAGACAAAAATTAGAAAGGTAAAAATGAAAATTAGAATTAAAAAAAAAAGAAAAGTAATTTAATATTTTTTTCTTTTTTTTAAAGTCTAGTTCACTGTAAAAAAAGCCTTTAATAGGGAACAATTAAACCATGTATTTTTCTTCATCTAAGTTTATTGAAAGATAAAAATAATAAGATTGATTGTTCAATCAAATAATTTTAAAGTCACAAACAATTAAATGGTAGAGCTTTTAACATGTAATTAACATTTATAATTTTTATAAAAGTAAAGTTATTAATTCAAGATCCCTTTTGAAATCAATGTTTGTCTAAGCTTGTCCAAGCTGATGCACTGTTCAAATATTATAAAAGAAATAATTAGAATGTTATGAAACAAAAGATATTAGACCTCAAACTTTTTCAAAGTTGATTAGCAGTAATTGAAATTTAATGACTCTTTAATCCAATATTTACTTTTCATTGATCATGTTGATTTAGAGCACTGCCTGAGGTTATTATATTGAACACCTGTCAAAATTTGACATGCTTATTCAATTGCTACACACCCATACTTAATCCTTAATTACATTTTAAGATCAATCATGCAGGATGTCACACCAGTACTTGTGTATTCAATAAAGAAGGACAAATTTTTTTTATATTACAATTAAAGAAATAAAATAAAAAAACGTCTTGAACATATACAAGAGTGAAGAAAAAAACACTATTAAAAAAACCGTCCATAGTTGTGTATAATATGCACCGTCTCTTCCAATTACTTTTTGGGGGTAAAAAAATGCGTACTTTACACACCTAAAGACGGTAAATAAAAACCTCTATCCACCATAGACTAAAAGATGTAGATGTAAGCAACTATAGGTCAACACACTGCCTTCAATAATGAGCAAAAACCATACTATATAGCCTTCAACAATGAGCAAAACCAATACCATATAGTAACTATAAAAGGCCCGGACATAAAAAAATGTAAATCAGTTTAAAAGAGAAGTCCATGTTCAAAATAATAAAGGAAAAACAAATATATTAGACACAGAACAATGACTTGGGACAGGGGCAAAAATGCAGCAGGGCTAAACATGTTTTGTGAGATCTCAACCCTCCGCCTATACCTCTAGTCAATGTGGAATAAACAAACATATAATGAAAGCTTTTTTTATAAGCCATCATTTATTAAAAAAAAGGAAATATTGTCATTTTACATATTAAGCTACAGAAATGGCTCTAAGCAGCTCCAAATCATAAATCATAAATTATTATGAGATTTACAGAATGAATGAAAGTGCTTACTTACTTTTTCCACATTTAACTGTATTACAGCATATTTGTTCGCCTTGTTTGTTTACTCTCAGTTTTTGACCAGTTTTACAAACTTTACCGATAACATTCTAAAATATATAACAACATGCTTACTCAATATATAAAATAATATTGTTGACAACATATGGCTGAAAACTTGTACAAACTATCTGCATTTGACTAATCAAGCTTAATCATTTATCAAACTAAATCTTGCACAGCCCCTACTTTGTCTACTTAAGCTCAAGCTCATTATTTTATAAAACTCGATTGTTTTTAAGGTGACCATACTTAAATAAACGGGTGCAAACACACTGAAATGTTTTGTCTGCTTTACTGATCATGATCGAATTTCATGTTGAAAGTCTTTAAGATAATATCTAAGTTTTACTACAGGTATCACATAAAAGTAACATTATCAATGATCAATGAAAATAAGCTCAAGGTCAGATTAAGGCTGTCTGACAGACATGTACAACTTAATGTTTAAATAGATATAAGAAGATGTGGTATGAGTGCCAATGAGACAACTCTCCATCCAAGTCAAATTTTATAAAAGTAAACCATTATGGGTCAAAGTACCGTCTCCAACACGGAGCCTTGGCTCACACGGAACAGCAAGCTATAAAGGGCCCCAAAAATTACAAGTGTAAAACCATTCAAACGGGAAAACCAACGGTCCAATCTATATAAAAAACGAGAAACAAGAAACACTTATGAACCACATCAACAAACGACAACTACTGAACATTAAATTCCTTTTATAATTTCCCTGTTGATAAGTTTATAAATTGTTAAGAAACTCATGAAAGTTGATCTTATACGTATTTGACTACTCTTATAAGGTCCTTTCTGGTCATATAGCTCTTCACAAGTCATGCAAGTAATTGTACATAATTGGATTTCAATAGACCACTTTCGATTTAAGTCCTTTACCGGAAGAGTTCGTCAATTTTGTGCGCCTTTGTGACGTCATTTACCAGATAGAGGGGATCGCCTGTATCCCTGCTCTATTAAAGTTCATCAAGAGTCTTTGTGATCGCCATTATGCAGAATAAACTAGATATAATATTTGTTCCGTAAGTACTTAATTACAATTCCCTAATGATATCAGTGCTGAATATCAATTATAAGAATTTAATTTGCGGAATAATTCGTGCAATATAGCATTAACATTTTTCAACCAATTGCTCAACATAGGAACGGAAGTGACAACACCCCTAAATGCAGGAATGATGTTCACTAAAACCAAAGTTTTTGACGGAAATGCAACGAACTCGAAAGTTGTCTATTGTTTGGGTTTGAACTTTGAGCATTCCTGATGAAGGTATATCCAAACTAGAGGCTCTAAAGAGCCTGTGTCGCTCACCTTGGTCTATGTGCATATTAAACAATGGACACAGATGGATTCATGACAAAATTGTGTTTTGGTGATGGTGATGTGTTTGTAGATCTTACTTTACTGAACATTCTTGCTCCTTACTATTATCTCAACCTATAATGAACTTGGCCCAGTAGTTACAGTGGAAAATATTTTGTAAAAATTTACAAAAATTTACAAAATTTATGAAAATTGTAAAAAATTGACTATAAAGGGCAATAACTCCTTAAGGGGTCAATTGACAATTTTGGTCATGTTGACTTATTTGTAGATCTAACTTTGCTGTACATTATTGCTGTTTACAGTTTATCTTTATCTATAATAATATTCAAGATAATAACCAAAAGCTGCAAAATTTTCTTAAAATTACCAATTCAGGGGCAGTAACCCAACAACATGTTGCCTGATATGGTCTGAAAATTTCAGGGCAGATAGATCTTGACCTAATGAACAATTTTATACCATCAGATTTGCTCTAAATGCTTTGGTTTCAGAGATATGAGCCAAAAACTGTATTTTACCCTATGTATTATTTTTTTGCCATGTCGGCCATCTTGGTTTGCGTGCAGGGTCATCGGACACATTTTTTAAACTAGATACCCTAATGATGATTGTGGACAATTTTGGTTAAATTTGTCTTAGTAGTTTCAGAGGAGAAGATTTTTGTAAAAGATTACAAAAATTTACGAAAAATGGTTAAAAATTGACTATAAAGGGCAATAACTCCTTAAGGGGTCAACTGACCATTTTGGTCAAGTTGACTTATTTGTAGATCATACTTTGCTGAACATTATTGCTGTTTATAGTTTATCTCTATCTATAATAATATTCAAGATAATAACCAAAAACGGCAAAATTTCCTTAAAATTACCAATTCAGGGGCAGCAACCCAACAACGGGTTGTCCGATTCATCTGAAAATTTCAGGGCAGATAGATCTTGACCTGATAAACAATTTTATCCCATGTCAGATTTGCTCTAAATGCTTTGGTTTCAGAGATATAAGCCAAAATCTACATTTTACCCCTATGTTCTATTTTTAGCCATGGCGGCCATCTTGGTTGGTTGGCGGGGTCATCGGACACATTTTTTAAACTAGATACCCCAATGATGATTGTGGCCAAGTTTGGTCAAATTTGGCCCAGTAGTTTCAGAGGAGAAGATTTTTGTAAAAGTTTACGGATGACGGACGACGGACGCAAAGTGATGAGAAAGCTCACTTGACCTTTCAGGTCAGGTGAGCTAAAAAGTGTTTCAGACACAACAAATTTATAATAAAGTGTTATTCTCATTTACAATCATTCAATACACCAAATATAGTTGACATATTGCTCAGAAACAGACCTAACCATGAAAAATTCACTTTCACTAAAGCACCATGCAAATGAGGTCAAGTTCAGATGAACCTTGCCATACAAACATATGTGCATCTTTATACAATAATTTCATACATCAAATATTCTAATAGTAATCTTTATTTCAATAGGGTAAGCTCAATGAATGAGTTACCCGAGGTCAGACGGTGTAAATGACGTCATTGAACGATGATGTAAGAATATAAGCATTCTATGGGAAAATGCACAGATTTGAAACTGAAAGTCGTCAAAACATGAAAACATAAACAAACGATGATCAGAATTTGTTGAAAGCCCATTTTCTTCAATAAAAGTAAGATAATCGATCAACTTTGTCCAAACTTGTCTTAGTAAATCATTTAAGCATGTCACTTTTTTTTCAGTTTTCTTCGTATTTTACGTCAATATAAATAGTGTGTTCAATTATGGGAACAGCAAACATTTCCCTTCACCTAGAGCGCTTCGAAACAAAAGAATTGCTGTCTTTGTCCTATTAGAATAGAAATAATTCATGGGGGCTTGAATTTATATTGATTTTACCATGGGTTGGCCCTTTATGCTGATATTTTACCGATCGCTATCGCTCAAGATAAAATATTTAGCTTTTAAAAAGGGCCAACTCGTGGTAAAATCACAATAAATTCAAGCCCCCATGAATTATTACTTAAACAATTTGATTTGAAAGTACATGTATTTATATACGACGTGCATCTCAGTACTTCTTGAAGTTTATTCCTTGGATCAGAAAATGCAAACGACCTTTATAAGTGTTAAGTTCTTGTCTTAGGAATACTCAGTAATTGAGTTGTAGTTGATCTTAGTCGCATTCCATTTCTATTTGTTACATAGATCTTGTTCGCCAGTTAATCTGGGACAGATCCATATAAACATCTATGTACATTTTAGGCCTTAGAGTGGATTAAACAATCAGCAAATTTTTGCAAAGATAATTTTTCAAACTGTTTATGAGGGTCTGGATGGGGGGTCTTAAATTTCATTATTCTTTAAATTCTAAGGCCTATTTCTTCATCTTTAAAAATAATGATTATTCTGTAAAATTCTCATGAAAATAATTTACTATTACATTTTTCTGTAATAAGTTGATTTCTTTAATCTGTACATCTTTCACTTCTGTAACCAGTATTATATTACCTGATTCTTTTATTTTCCACAGTTATTATCTATTCTTTTGCACCCCAATTATTCTCTATTCTTTGGTAATTCCAAGAAAAGAAAGTTTTTGGTAACAAAACATGAACTTGTTCTGTAACTTGTCATTAAACACTCTGAATATCTATAGTTATGTTTGAAAAAAGTCTGATGGACTGTTAGATTTTAGAATAATTGAATGAAAAGTAGGACAATTGTTATCACTGTGAAGTTACAATCCTTTCTAAGAATATGTGCGCAGTATAAAACAAAGTAAACTTTCTTATTAGAGTGTTATAATATTTTGAACAAGCATTCTGTGAGTATTGCATGGCAATACATAGTCCCCTACCGGTTACAAATTCATTGTAATGGAAAGAAATTCTAACTTGATCTATAACTTGTCATGGTGTAAACTACATAAAAACATCAAGTCAAAATCTTCAAGCATGATGAAAAAAATTGTTGAAAACTGATTATTTAAGTGAATTTTCTGTCCAAAGACCATAACTAAGCACAAAATTATCAGACTGGAACAAAATTCCAACAGACAGACAGACAGACAGACAGACAGACGGAGTGCAAACCTAAAGTCCCCTTTGCCTTAGTCGGTAGGGGACTAATAAAGAGTACAGCACAAGCTTAAGTCAGTTCACATTACACATTTCATAAGATGCACTGTGGTATTTCAGAAGATGCATTGTGGTTAACAGAACCTTCATCAAAGTGCAAAGTAATTATCTTTATCTATTTCAAAATTTTTTGCCATTTATCACACAAGTGGTTCATGTGGTTACCTTGATTGGCTTGACTGTTATAGGCTACAAAAGGAAAAGAATTAATCACAGCGTCAGAGTGAGAGCCCTGCAAAGGCAATTATGCCAAATCAATGTTTTTGTGACTTCTAGTTTTCATTTTTATGTATAAGAATTACACCTGCAACAGGAGATTATAATGATCAAATTCAGAAGAGGCTATTGACAATTGATTTTGAAAACGAAAACTTTTAATTCAAAAAATAAATAAAATAATTTCAAATCGTCAAATGTTAGATTTTATTTACTTTGAAATATGAATGTGTGCTGGCATCTCTTTTTGAACAAGTACTAAATAAATCCTTAATCTGAAGTCATGAAATATTAAAACATAATTATAATTTTGTCAATGTTATATCAAAATAAGAAGATGAGGTATGATTGCCAATGAGACGACGCTCCACCAGAGACCAAATGATGTAGAAGTATTAGTAAGCAACTTCATTTGCCTTCAACAATGAGCAAAACCCATACTGCATAGCAAGTTATAAAAGGCCCTGAAAATGACAAATGTAAAACAATTCACACAAGAAAAATAACGGCCTGATTTATGAAAAAAACAATAAACGAAAAACAAATATGATATACAGCAACAAACTACAACCACTGAATTACAGGCTGAAATTGGAAACAAAGGGTGCTCTAATAGCCCCTCTACTTTCTCCAAAGACAAATTAGTTTTTAATTTTGATTTCTTTTAACCCTTTTTAACAAATATAAACTGTTGACACAGAGATATATCTTGCCTTTTTGTAATTTTGATAGTATAATGCAAATATTGAATCCAAATGGCAATATTTAAACATGTAAACTATGCACATTCAAAGTCAATCAACCATGATTTATGGTGCAGTACCAAATAACCCAATGGAAATGAGAAATGCCAATGCTTATAAAACTGCATACCAAATACCACTGACTTATCATAAGTGGTTCCCTTTAAAATAACTTAAACACAAACTTTAACTTGTAAACAATGTAAAAGTTTCAAAGTCAATGAACCATGCTGAGGGGGTTGGGCCATATAATCACCATGGAAAAGAGACTTGCAAATGCTAATACATGTACAACTGCATACCAAATACCATTGACTTAACATTAACAGTTCCTCTTAAACTGATCTAATCACAAAGTTAATGTAAACTATGCAAAACATTCAAAGTCAATAGACCATGACTGAGGGGGTGAAGCCAAAATATTTCCATGGAAATGAGATGGGCCAATGCTTATGCTTCTACATACCACTAGTGGTTCCCCTTGAACTGAAATAATCACTAACTAATACATGTAAAGTAAGCAACAGTTTTAAAGTCAATAGACCATGACTGAGGGGGCGGGGTTGAATAAACTCCATGGAAATGAGATGTGCCAATACAAATGCATCTACATACCAAATATCTGTGACCTACCACAAGTGATTCTTCTTAAACTGACCTAATCACAAACTAATGCATGTAAAGTAAGCAAAAGTTTCAAAGCCAATAGACCATGACTGAGGGGGTGGGGCCAAAAAATCTCCATGGAAATGGGATGTGTCAATGCTAATACCAATACATACCAAATATCATTGACCTTCCACTAGTGGTGTCAACGTATATTTGTTCCGCCTAACAGAAGTTCCACTGGAAACTTTCTTATAAACAATGTCATAATATCTGTTCCTGTTGGAACAAATATTCTATACCATTTATTCCGTTAGGAACATTTACTGTAATATTTATTCCAGTGGAAATAATATTCCAGAATACTGTTTCCATTTGGAACTTATATTATGAAGGAACTTCTATTCCGTGACAGTGGTTCACCATAAACTGACCTAATCACAAACTAATACATTGTTGATACCTCTGCTGACGCCTATGACGCTGATGGAAACAGCATACCTAAGTCTCGCTTTTTGACTCCCTCAAAGCAAGACAATAATGAGATGTGAGTAAACATCAATGTCACATACCATAGACATCTAGAGGTCAATCAATCTGATTTAAATACAGATCCTGTGTACATGCTTTGCTTACAAGGATCTGACATCACTCCTTTCTACTTTCTGTTCTGATGTTTATTAAATCAGCCAATCAAATTCCTGCCATCAAATTTCTAAAGGCATGTATCATTAGGACAAAACCAGAGAATCCAGAAAGACCTTTAAAACAGTAAGAAGGACAGAGTGTTTTCAGATCCTTGTAAACAAAGCTTGGACACAAGAAATCAGTGTTCTCCCCAGGCCCTTAAAGGACCGCGGGCCCGCAATGTATAATTTTTTACCGCGGTGGTATCGTTCTTACCGCGATGTATAATTTTTCTCCGTGGTGCTAAAATTTTCATCGTAAATCGGTAAAGTTTTAAACGACTTGTTAAATCTTTTCCGTGCGGTGTGAAATTTGACCAGTTCAAACCAGTTCAACACAGATTGTTTACACCACGTGATCGATTTACCTTATGAGGTTAACCTTGTTGATTGCATTTAATCGATGTCATTAACACTTGTAACATGATTCTTTTGTGTTTTAATTAAGAGTTCATAACTTTATGATCACAGATAACTATTTTATGGCTTCCCTCTCCACCCAAGCACTGACCTGTGACAAGTCGGTAAATACTTTGTACACAAACAGTGTCTTGACCCGATAGGTACATTTTGTGTACATCATAAAGGTGGCTAATTACGTATAATGGACAACTATACATTTCCCAATTCTTATAATATAGTATTATATGTCTCTGATTAAACCATGGACAATATTATCTTTAAGTATGACATAGTTATTGCATGATAGTCGGGTTTCAAACTGTAGTATCTGTCTGTACATATCACATGACCCAGTTAGTTCACGTAGAATATTCAAGTTTATTTACAATTAATTGCAATCTATTATATTTTATAAATAAAATGCATGACTGTACCTTAAAACTGGATATCAATATCCATAATCAATGAATAACAGAAGTAATCTAATTCTTGCAAATTTTATCCAAAAGCACATGTTAAATCTATTTATATCTACTTCCTGTCATTTAGGCGGGAAATTAGGGAGACTTAGTTGTTGACATTGAATATGGTTACTTATAGATCTATAGACCAAAGATAAATTTATAGATTTAGGAATTCCTTTTAAATGGTTCATGACAAATAAAGATTTAGATTTCAGGGCAGTATTAAGCCTGTATCTATGTTTGATTATCACCAATAGAACATTTTTGTTCACTTTTAATGATATTTTATTTTTATTGATTTTGGATTTTATAAAAGATTTAATTACTTTAAATTCAGATGAATATTTTATTATGAATCATAATTTATTTATTTTAAAAAAATATTAAAGTATACAAACTGTTTTTTGATTTACTTCTTTTTTACCAATAATTTTCTGAATCAATGTCTACATAACACAGTACCACAGTATTAAAACAAAACAAGAGACATAAAAACTACAGTAACTAGAGCTAAGCGACGCGACAAGACACAACTGATTGCATGAAATATTTCACCAAGAAGTCCACACGCGTTACCCTGGTGCTATCCAAAAATCCTGGGGAGAACACTGAAGATCTGTATTTTAAACAGATAGGTCAACATACTGTCTGCAATGACTTTTTTCTCTCTTTCCTGAATTTTAACACTTTCAAATATAAAGGCTGTTTTAATAGCATTATCTTTTTTTGCAATACAAAAATTAAAATGACAGATTTTAAGAAACACATGCCTAGTTTACACTATTTTATATTTGTTCAATGATAATCAACAATAACAAAAGTGAATACTGTAGATTCAAAAATTATTACATTATCAGATTCAAAATAATAAAAACTTGCATCCACAATTTCAGAAGTGATTTTTCTGCATAAAAGTTTTGCAATCTCATTAATTAGATTTTTTATTTTTCAGTGGTCAAGGATTTGCCATAATTTAATTTCTAAATTAACAGCATTTTATTGCATATTGATTGATTGATTGATTCGATGTTTAAAGCCACTTTCAGCACTATTGTGCTAATTTGTGGTGGTCAGTTTTTGTTGGTGGAGGAAGCCGGATTGCCTTCGGTAGGAAATGCATGTACATCATTATGTTACTACATTGTTTACCTAATTAATTTCAACATGACCAAAGATGACAGAAAAATCACCATCCTCAGAATGAAAATTGAAATAAAATCATATTCAAGCAACTGTCACAATTAAAGCCCCTACATGTAACACTCATGCATATCTACACTTACATCAGACAAAACTATAATCAAACATGCTGTTAATATTCTCTTCTTAAATTTAAATGTGGCACCATCTGTGGTACAGCTCATATCTGATGTATTTCTAGAAGTCTGGTACCACCTCGTTTCTTTTCTAACTAATCATTTCAACTGCAAATAAATAATCATATGGTAACATAAATTAAATGCATAGTTTACCTTTACACATTACAACATATAATAAAATGCTCCGCAGGGCGCAGCTTGATACGACCGCAGAGGTCGAACCCTGAACAGTTGGGGCAAGTATGGACACAACATTCAAGCTTGATACAGCTCTGAATTTGGATTGTGATTAAATATTTGACACAGCATAGGTTTCTGACACAGAATGAATGTGGTCTAAGAACTTAAAAATTTTAAATTGGACATTCACCTATTATGGTCCAATATCCAAAATCTAAATACATGGTAAGATTCAGCATATCAAAGAACCCCAAGAATTCAATTTTTGATGAAATCAAACAAAGTTTAATTTTGGACCCTTTTGATCTCAATGTGGACAAAAATGATAACAGGGCCCAAAAATCAAAAGTCAAATTCATGGTTAGATTCAGCATATCAAAGAACCCCATATATTCAATTTTTGTTGAAATCAAACAAAGTTTAATTTTGGACCCAGATTTGGACCTACTTGAAAACTGGGCCCATAATCAAAAATCTAAATACATGTTTAGATTCAGCATATCAAAGAACCCTAAAAATTCAATTTTTGTTAAAATCAAACTAAGTTTAATTTTGGACCCTTTGGACCTTTATGTAGACCAATTTGAAAACGGAACCAAAAATTAAGAATCTAAATACACGGTTAGATTCGGCATATCAAAGAACCCCAATAATTCAATTTTTGATGAAATCAAACAAAGTTAAATTTTGGACCCTTTGGACTTCAATGTGGACCAATTTTAAAACCGGGCCCAAAATCCAAAAACTTAATACACGGTTAGATTCAGCATATTACAGAACCCCATATATTCAATTTTTGTTGAAATCAAACAAAGTTTAATTTTGGACCCCGATTTGGACCAACTTGAAAACTGGGCCCATAATCAAAAATCTAAATACATGGTTAGATTCAGTATATCAAAGAACCCCATATATTCAATTTTTGTTGAAATCAAACAAAGTTTCATTTTGGACCCCGATTTGGACCAACTTGAGAACTGGGCCCATAATCAAAAATCTAAATACATGGTTAGATTCAGCATATCAAAGAACCCCATATATTCAATTTTTGATGAAATCAAACAAAGTTTAATTTTGGACCCTTTTGATCTCAATGTGGACAAAGTTGATAACGGGGCCCAACAATCAAAAATCTAAATACATGGTTAGATTCAGCATATCAAAGAACCCCATATATTCAATTTTTGTTGAAATCAAACAAAGTTTAATTTTGGACCCCGATTTGGACCAACTTGAAAACTGGGCCCATAATCAAAAATCTAAATACATGGTTAGATTCAGCATATCAAAGAACCCCATATATTCAATTTTTGTTGAAATCAAACAAAGTTTAATTTTGGACCCCGATTTGGACCAACTTGAAAACTGGGCCCATAATCAAAAATCTAAATACATGGTTAGATTCAGCATATCAAAGAACCCCATATATTCAATTTTTGTTGAAATCAAACTAAGTTTAATTTTGGAACCTTTGGACCTTTATGTAGACCAATTTGAAAACAGAACCAAAAATTAAGAATCTAAATACACGGTTAGATTCGGCATATCAAAGAACCCCAATAATTCAATTTTTGATGAAATCAAACAAAGTTAAATTTTGGACCCTTTGGACTTCAATGTGGACCAATTTTAAAACGGGGCCCAAAATCCAAAAACTTAATACACGGTTAGATTCAGCATATTACAGAACATCATATATTCAATTTTTGTTGAAATCAAACAAAGTTTAATTTTGGACCCCGATTTGGACCAACTTGAAAACTGGGCCCATAATCAAAAATCTAAATACATGGTTAGATTCAGCATATCAAAGAACCCCATATATTCAATTTTTGTTGAAATCAAACAAAGTTTCATTTTGGACCCCGATTTGGACCAACTTGAAAACTGGGCCCATAATCAAAAATCTAAATACATGGTTAGATTCAGCATATCAAAGAACCCCATATATTCAATTTTTGATGAAATCAAACAAAGTTTAATTTTGGACCCTTTTGATCTCAATGTGGACAAAGTTGATAACGGGGCCCAACAATCAAAAATCTAAATACATGGTTAGATTCAGCATATCAAAGAACCCCATATATTCAATTTTTGTTGAAATCAAACAAAGTTTAATTTTGGACCCCGATTTGGACCAACTTGAAAACTGGGCCCATAATCAAAAATCTAAATACATGGTTAGATTCAGCATATCAAAGAACCCCATATATTCAATTTTTGTTGAAATCAAACAAAGTTTAATTTTGGACCCCGATTTGGACCAACTTGAAAACTGGGCCCATAATCAAAAATCTAAATACATGGTTAGATTCAGCATATCAAAGAACCCCATATATTCAATTTTTGTTGAAATCAAACTAAGTTTAATTTTGGAACCTTTGGACCTTTATGTAGACCAATTTGAAAACAGAACCAATAAAATGCTCCGCTGGGGCGCAGCTTGATACGACCGCAGAGGTCGAACCCTGAACAGTTGGGGCAAGTATGGACACAACATTCAAGCTTGATACAGCACTGAATTTGGATTGTAATTAAATATTTGACACAGCATAGGTTTCTCACACAGAATGAAAGTAGTCTAAGAACTTAAATTTTTTTAATTTACCTATTCAAACCATATCATTATTATTTGCTTTTATATATAAATCAGAAATAACCAATTTAAAATGGAAAATTTTAAAGAAAAAAAAGGAAAAAAAAATCCCCCCCCCAAATTTTTTGAAACCCCCTTATGATTCATCACCCCCAAACTCAATCCCAGCCTTCCCTTTGTGGTATGGTACCTTGCAGTACAATTTCAGAGAGATCCATACACTTGAACACAAATTATTGTCTGGAAACTAGAAAAATGCTTGGGTTTTTTGCACCTTTTTGGCCCCAAATTCCTAAAAGTTTAGGGCAATTACCCCCAAACTCAAACCAAGCTTTCCCTTTGTGATATGGAACCTTGCAGTACAATGTCATAAAGATCAATACACTTACACACAAGTTATTGTCATGAAACTAGAAAAATGCTTGTTTTTTTGCCCCTTTATGGCCCCTAATTCCTAACATTTTGAGACAATTACCCCCAAAAACAATCCCAGCCTTCCCTTTGTGGTATGGTACCTTGCAGTACAATTTCAGAGAGATCCATACACTTGAACACAAGTTATTGTCTGGAAACTAGAAAAATGCTTATTTTTGGCCCCTTATTCCTAAACGTTTTGGGCAAGTACCCCCAAACTCAATTCCAGCTTTCCCTTTGTGATATGGAACCTTGTAGTACAATTTCATAAATATCCATACACTTACACACAAGTTATTGTCATGAAACTAGAAAAATGCTTGTTTTTTGCCCCCTAATTCCTAAAATTTGGAGGCAATTACCCCCAAAATCAATCCCAGCATTCAAACCCTCAATCAGCATCATTTAACAGTAATATCTAAAAATGGAAATTACATAATAAAGGTATTAAAATAGAAAATGACATCATAGTCATGGCTAAAAATAAACAAAATCCTTAATCAGCAACATTTTACAGTAATATCTAAAAATAAAATTCCTTTGTAACCATAAAAGCCCATTTAAATACATCATGACAGATATTAAAATAGAAAATGACATCATAGTCATGGCTAAACATAGCAAAAACCTTAATCAGCATCATTTAACAGTAATATCTAAAAATAAAAATTTCTTTGCAACCATAAAAGTAAAATAGAAAATGACATCATAATCATAGCTAAAAATAAACAAAAATTTTTTTTATTACCAAATTTTAAATGGAGTTTATTAAACTAAAACAATAAATTTGCAACCATAAAACCCCATTTAAACACATCATAAAAGTATTAAATAATTCAACTACATCATAAGGCTATAAAAATAGAAAATGACTTCATAGTCAAGACTAAAGGTAAACAAAAAACCTTCATCAGCAAAATTTTATATTGGCAAATTTCCAATGAAGTTTATTATACTAAAATTATAGGCAAATTTCCAATGCATTTATTAACAATAAAGTTATTGGCAAATTTCCAATTTACATAATTTAAAAGCAGTGTAAGTGAGATATTTAAATGAGTTTGAATTACCAACCTTACACTGCTTTTAAATAATGTTTTGTACTTATTTGTCTATTAACCTGGAAACCCTTGTTTTTTCACCTTTTTTTCCCTTATTATTTAAAGGTTTGAGCCATAACCCTACCCCAAAGCCAATTCTTAAATTCCAATGTAACCTAAATTTACAATATACATAACTTCAATTTAAGTTTTTGATAAAATCAAACCACATCATTATTATTTGCTTTTATATCTAAATCAGAAATAATTAACCAACTTTAAGTGGAAAATTTTCACACATCACGCCCCCCCAAACTCAATCCCAGCCTTCAGTTTGTGGTATGGTACCTTGCAGTACAATTTCACAGAGATCCAATTACTTAAACACAATTAATTGTTGGAAACTAAAAAAAAATGCTTATTTTTAACCCCTTTTTTAGCCCCTTATTCCTAAACATTTGAGCAATTATCCCCCAAACTCAATTCCAACTTTCTCTTTGTGATCAGAATTAACCAACTTAAAATGGAAAATTTTAAAGAAAAAAAAAAGGAAAAAAAATCCCCCCCCCCCCCAAATTTTTTGACCCACTTCCCTTTGTGGTATGGTACCTTTAAGAACAATTTCAGAGAAATCCATACAAGTTAATGTCTGGAAACTAAAAAAATGCTTATTTTTGCCCCCTTTTTTGGCCACTTATTAATAAATGTTTTGGGCAAACATTTTACAATAATATTTAAAACTGAAATTAATTTGTAACCTTAAAATTAAATAGAAAATGACATCATAGTCATAGCTAAAAATAAACAAACTATTGGTAAATTTCCAATGGAGTTTATTATATTAAAACAATAAATTTGCAACCATAAAAGCGCATTAAAATACATCATAAAAGTATTAAAAAAAATTTAACTACATCATAAGGCTATTAAAATAGAAAATGACATCATAGTCAGACTAAAGGTAAACAAAAAACCTTCATCAGCAAAATTTTATATTGGCAAATTTCCAATGAAGTTTATTATACTAAAATAATTGGCAAATTTCCAATTTACATAATTCAAACATAGTGCAGGTGAGATATTTAAATGAGTTTGAATTACCAACCTTACACTGCTTTTAAATAATGTTCTTAACTCAATTATTTGTCTATTAAAATGGAAACCCTAGTTTTTTAACCTTTTTTCCCCTTATTCCTTAAACGAAAAAAAATAATTACCACTTTTTTGACCCCCCCCCTATGATTCATCACCCCCCCTTCCCCCCAAACCAAGCTCAATAACAGCCTTGCCTTTGTGGTATGGTACCTTGTAATACAATTTTAGAGAGATCCATACACTTGAACACAAGTTATTGTCTAGAAACTAAAAAATGCTTATTTTTCACCCCTTTTTAGGCCCCTTATTACTAAACGTTTTGGGCAATTACCACAAAACTCAATTCCAGCTTTCCCTTTGTGAAATGGAACCTTGTAGTAAAATTTCAGAAAGATCCATACACTTACACACAAGTTATTGTCATGAAACTAGAAAAATGCTTGTTTTTTGCCCCCTTTTGGCCCCTTATCCCTAAAATTTCGAGGAAATTAACCCCAAAATCAATCCCATCATCGACCCTTTGTGATATGGAATCTTGTAGTACAATGTCAAAGAGATCCATACAATAACACACAAGTTATGTCTGGAAATTACAAAAATGCTTATTTTCGGCCCCTTTTTGGCCCCTAATTATTTAACTGTTGGTACCATAACCCCCAAAATCAATCCCCACCTTCCTATTGTGTTATTGAACCTTATGGTAAAATTTCATAGAGATCCATTCACTTAAACTAAAGTTAGAGTGCGAAAACCATTGTGTATTCGGACGACGACGACGACGACGACGACGACGACGCCAACGTCATACCAATATACGACCACAAAATTTTTTTGCGGTCGTATAAAAATTAAGAATCTAAATACACGGTTAGATTCGGCATATCAAAGAACCCCAATAATTCAATTTTTGATGAAATCAAACAAAGTTAAATTTTGGACCCTTTGGACCTCAATGTGGACCAATTTAAAAACGGGGCCCAAAATCCAAAAACTTAATACACGGTTAGATTCAGCATATTAAAGAACCCCAAGAATTCAAGAATAAAACCCCATTGAAATTGATCAAGAAATAAGCAATTTATACGAAGTATCTTCTTTTGCACAATACTGTGCAATTGATTATTTCTTGCTACAAATGTATTGCGCAATACTGTACAATTGACAATTTCTTGCTATTGCGCAATATTGTGCTATTGGATATTTCTTGCTATTGCGCAATACTGTGCAATTGAAGATTTCTTGCTATTGCGCAATACTGTGCAATTGAAGATTTCTTGCTATTGTGCAATTCTGTGCAATTGAAAATTTCTTGCTATTGCACAATACTTATTATATAATAATTTACACATCCTGTTTGGTGTGTATCTCCTATCATATCATTATTATTTGCTTTTAAATATAAATCAGAAATAACCAACTTAAAATTTAAAATTTTAAAAGAAAAAAAAAAGGAAAAAAAGAAAAAAAAAAATCCCCCCCCCCCAAATTTTTTGAACCCCCTTATGATTCATCACCCCCAAACTCAATCTCAGCCTTCCCTTTGTGGTATGGTACCTTGCAGTACAATTTCAGAGAGATCCATACACTTGAACACAAGTTATTGTCTGGAAACTAGAAAAATGCTTATTTTTGGCCCCTTTTTGGCCCCCAATTCCTAAACGTTTCGGGCAATTACCCCCAAACTCAATTCCAGCTTTCCCTTTGTGATATGGAACCTTGTAGTACAATTTCAGAAAGATCCAAACACTTACACACAAGTTATTGTCATGAAACTAGAAAAATGCTTGTTTTTTGCCCCTTTTTTGGCCCCTAATTCCTAACATTTTGAGGCAATTACCCCCAAAATCAATTACAGCCTTCCCTTTGTGATATGGAACCTTGTGGTACAATGTCAGAGAGATCCATACACTTACACACAAGTTATTGTCTGGAAGTTACAAAAATGCTTATTTTTGGCCCCTTTTTGGCCCCCAATTCCTTAACTGTTGGTACCATAACCCCCAAAATCAATCCCAACCTTCCTTTCGTGGTATTGAACCTTATGGTAAAATTTCATGGAGATCCATTCACTTAAACTAAAGTTAGAGTGCGAAAACCAATGTGTCTTGGGACACAATTTTTGCGGTCGTATAAAAATATAAGTACATGAAGCTTACTTTAAATGTATAACTTTACATTAACACATGAACACATGTTTCAAAATCTGAAAATAACTATATACCTGGTATAATGGAATATCACAATTTTAAAATCAAGTCCTTCCAATATCAATATACATTATAATATGCAATTTCAATAGTTATATAATACGAAATAAATCGCTTTGCCGAGCGCAGCTGGATACCACGGCAGAGGTCCAACCCTAAACAGTTGGGGCAAAAATGGACACAATATTCGTGCTTGATACAGGTCTAAATTTGGATTGTAATTAAATATTTGACACATAATAGGTTTCTGACACAGAATAACTGTAGTCAAAGAACTTAGAATTGGTTATATGATATGAATTTATATTCAATTTTTTTGCTTTTGAGCAATACACTAGTATGCTGTTGCGAATTGACCCCCCCCCCCCCCCCCCCCCCATACACCTTTCCACAAGTTATTGTCTGGAAACTAGAAAAATGCTTATTTGGGCCCCTAATTCCTAAACTGTTAGGACTATAACCCCCAAAATCAATCCCCACCTTCCTTTTGTGGTTATAAACCTTGTGTTTAAATATCATAGATTTCTATTTACATTTACTAAAGTTATTGTCAGGAAACCAAAACTGACGACAACGACGCGATACCAATATATGACCGCGGTCATATAAAAATGAAGTGGTCATGTTAGATTTCAAACCAAATGATTTTTTATAAACAGGTACATATATATGCCATAACAATGTCTCAGTTATAACCTTGACCAGTTAAAAAAACAATGAAAGGGCTAAATAAAATCAATTCTCTTTTATTGTTTTTTTTTCTGGAATTTAATACTTTGTGAAAGTGAAAAAACATTCAAACCTTTATAGAAAAGAATAATATGGTTACAGTTCACATCTAAATATTATTACATATTGCATAACTGAAAAGTTGTGTGGTTCAAGTGATGGTTGTGAACTACAACGAATTATCACATATTTGTTATGTAAACACTGGGTTTTGCATATGCAATAACCACAGATTTGCTCAGTCATATTTTTGCCCAGGACAAGTAACCGGTTATTTCTGCCCCGAGCAAATAACCGGTTATTGTGCCGTTATTAATGATGTCATAAGCGTTTCTAACAACAATGATGGATGAGGAAGATACTCATAAGTTTGTTAATGTCTATTAAAATGGATTTGTTAAAGAAATAAAGAAAACTAACACTTTAAGAAAATCTGACATTGACATAACAATATTCAGGTACTGTAGTGTTGAACTGTTGGAGAGCTTAGTAATAATGAAATTATTTCAGTTGAGGAAATTCTTTCCATTTTTTTAGCATTTGTATAATATGTGATAAATAGATTATACATGTAACTTGTCCTTTTTCATATGGGCCCCAAAGTATCATCCCTAGACCCATATGAGCCCTTGGCTAGCTCCTTGGGCTAATATGGGATTCTAAGATGTTGAAGATTGACATGTGACATCACTATGCCATTTTCCTGGCAAAGGAAATATAACTACTTTAAATTAGTGGCAACAAAGGGTTAAGGTTCATCATTACAAATGGACAAATATGGCTGTATTTACACCTCAAAAACTACTCTGTGTACAGACTTACCTGTGAGGTTTGAAATGTTTTAAGGCCTGACATCCACTAGATATATAAAAGTTAAATGCACTTTGTGTTTCAATAAGATAAAATGTTTTTTTTTGGATTTTGATAGGCATTTTTTTCTGTTCCTGCAGAAGGTGCAAAAATATATTTAACTAAGTTGGGTAAATTTTTGAGATGCTCACTCTCAGGTAACAACTGTATTGCATTGTATTGATTGTCCTTGATTGGCATGGACAATAGATATCTACACAACAATAGGTAAGTTATTAAAAGGGTGTAACTGAGTGGACAGTATCAAATGTAATTCAGGTGTTTGTTTATTTTCACACAGCAGGAACGAAAAAAAAAATGCCCATCAAAATCCAAAAAAGATTTTATCTTATTGAAACACAAAATGCATTTAACTTTTATATATCTTGTGGATGCCAGGCCTTAAAACTTTTCAAACCTCACAGGTAAGTCTGTACACAGAGTAGTTTTTTAGGTGTAAACTCAGCCATATTTGTCCATTTGTTATGATGAACCTTAATGTGAAAACTATGTAAAGCATTCAAAGTCAATGAACCATGAATGAAGCTGCATGGCCAAATAACCTCTATGGAAATGAAAAATGCCAATGTTTAAGAAACTGCATACCACATGTAATTGACTTATTAAACATTATTAACCAACTTACTACAATATGTATAGAAATGCCCATGCTTTATAAAAGGAAAATTTCGACAACTGGTCATTATGAACGAAGAAATTGCTACAGCCAAGCATTACGAAATCTCAGTCATGCATTACTAAATCACACCCGTGCATTACGAAATCACAGCCATGCATTATGAACAGATGAAACAGGACATCGATTAAATCAAAATGTCGTTTATTTCTTCAAATAAGTGACAACTTTTAAAAAAATTTTTTTAACTTAATATCATAAAAAAAAGTTTAAATGATCATGATGATGTTCAGTGTTTTGTAACGACTTGAAACAGAAATATTACACAGCCTTTTTCGAGTACGACTTTCGATTATTATCAAAATTTCATTTCCGTTAATCAATTATCAGAACGCAGACTACTCAGAGTAAGAATAGTTAAACTGTCTGATTTATTCTTCCCAGCTACTTTATATTTGCTAGATGAAATGAATTGCAATAGCATAAAATAAAGTACTTGGATGAGAAATCAGAAATTACATCTGACAATGTTTACCAAAAATCCATCGTGAATGCGAAAAGACAAGTTCAGCTATGAATTCCTGTATCTTCTTCACGGTAAGATTCTTACTCTTTGTTTAATCGAAGAATTAAAACCATTTACGATAATAAAAGTGTTATGAACTGGCTTTTTTTTGTATTGGTCCTGTTATAGATTCACGGTTAGCTGTATTTGGATCCGAGACTCGAAGACTGTTCTTGAATAAAGTTGCCTTAGTTGGTTAATAAAAGTATCAATATATGGACTTTTTCATATTGGCCCTGTAACATGCCCTTGGTATTAATAATGGCCTCGGACAGTTGTAATGGCCCTAGGTGCTGCCTCAGGGCCATTAGAACCATCCTTGGTCATTATTAATACCTCGGGCATGTTATAGGGCCAATATGAAAAAGTCCATACATAAATACTACATTGTATATTATTGCATCGGATATTATGCGGATTTTCCACAACCTGAACCTGTTTTTGTTAATTTTTTAAATGAAATCCCTGAAATTAAGCGTATGAACATGTCTCTGGTTTAACCAAAAGCAGCAGTAAAATCAGAAATGATGGCGACCACAAACAGAGGCGGATTTCCAGAACTTGGCAGAAGCTATTGGGAGTATTGCGTAGTTTTAGTCAGATAATTTTCGGTATTTTTTTTACTTCTGCCCGAGTATCATAGAACAAAAAAAGTGTATGTGCATTTTGCCTGTTTATCAAAATATATCTTAGCTTATCATCGTCATCATGACATGATCGTTCTAAATTTTCGTTTAAAAAGTGCAAAGTTAGAAAGAAGCCATGTTTATTTACCTCAACGGCTCAACAGAGGTGGAAAAAAAGGGAGACAATATGTATCTGTCTAAATATGTATCTGTCTGCCAATATAGGCACACCTCCACTAGTTGGGAGTAATGGAATTATTAATCCTCAAACAACAATTAGTTTATTTTGTAGATCTTTGTACATTCACAATCTATTATTAAAAAAATCCGTTTTCCATCAATAAAATGTAAAAGTAAAATTGAGAATGGAAATGGGATATATGTCAAAGAGACAACAACCCGACCAAAGAGCAGACAACAGCCGAAGGCCACCAATGGTATTTATACAACACACTGTATCCACTAGATCAATGTCATTAATGTCTCTCAGTTTAGTGGGATTTACCATTTAACCCTATGCAGGGATATACTTTTAAGTGTAAAAAGAAAAAAATCCAAACAGTCTCATATATCACTAATTAGTATACCGTAAGGATCCAGAAGAATTTGAATATTATAAAATTGGTAACTAGAATCAGAACCCGAATTTTTATTTTTTTTTTTAATTAAAAACTTTTGAGTTTGGCAATATTCGAATTACTTCTTGAATTACGTAGGTGGAGAAATGTTAACTTTCAAATTCTAAAGTTACTGGTAAGGTCTTTATATATAATACTGAATTATTGAATTCTGCAGAATAGCATGCCATAAATGATCCGCTATGATAAATCATTTTGTAAAAAAAAATCTGGGACAAATACGTAATGACTTTAAACTTCTAGTAGTACATGTATTCAACCATAACTTGATTTTCAGTGTTATGGAATACGAATACGAAAGTTTTATTTTGATTCGGTTCACATATAACAATACAAACATTTAAGCTCTTAAGAGCTTTTTACCGAATATAAAGTAACACAAACACAACATTAAAACACACAACATGCAGACAGGATATATACCAGCACAGGCATATTGAAATACATGCAAAGCACTACTAAAATATATATCTAAAGCCAAAGCTGAAGCACAACTAAAATGCACAACTAAAATTAAGCACAAATAAAATATAGCACACATGCAAAAATTTAAGGCATAATAACATGTTAGAGCAACTTCTAAAATATGAAAAAGCTTATCTACAAGCAGAACAACAACATTTTGAACCATTCCAAGACTGTATAAGGCTCTTAAATTGAGAAAAACTGTTTTCAGTCCTGAAATGGTCAGGTAGGCTGTTCCACAGAGTAGCAGCTGCAAATTTAAAACTTTTCTTTCCAAACTGTGTAGTTTTTACATGTAGTATATCCAGTATATTACTATACCTGAAAGAATATTTACAATCTTTTACATTTAATAAATCATGTAAACTAAACATAATTACACATTGTGCTAATTTATTGACTATATTAAAAGTTTCAATTGCCATTGATCTTTGTCTTTTAATATGCAGCTACTTTTTTACTTGCAACTTTCCATTTACACTCAGTGACATAAAATCATTTTGTAGATTATGTCTCAAGGAATACATAGAATTAATCAGATGTATTTTTTTTCAGTCAGAAGAAAAGATGAAACATAGAATCTGTATGAATAAAAGAATATAAATTGGGTCTAATTTACTTGTAAAATAAATGCTTGATAAGCATAACATGATATCCGAGATAGGTATGTTTTTATGCCGTGTATCACGAGAGCGTCCAAATGCTTTCTTTAATGTCTATAATTTAGTTGCTTGATTTCCAGTTTAGGACAAGAACGCCTCAGTGACCGGTGACTGTTGTCTGGGTATCTGACAGTATTTTCACCCCAATAAACTGCATGGTCTTAGATTGTGGTTAT